ATGAAAGAACCTTTACCCGAAGTGCAACGTTTCCCGCGCCCAACGACTCGCCCACAGCTTCTCGAAGCTGCCTATGCCCCAATTGAGAGCGTGGCCGATATGAGTGAGCGATCCAATACTGGGCTACCAAATTTCACTAATGTCGAAGCGGAAACGCTTGGCAACACTGACAGAGACTGTGCGTCTTCCTGGCCCGATGGTTTTCACGGACATTTCGAAGTCCGCCCCCAAACTTCTCAGCCTGTCACTGGCGCCGCCCACTCCCGTATTCATATACTGCCGTGGCCGATCGCTTATTGGGTTTCCGCCGCGTGTCGGTAGAAGGCTTCGCCTCAACGCTTATTGGCCCAGCGTCACCGCCTCCAGGACTTTGCAGCAGGTTTCCTTCATCCAACGCTAGTTGGGTAAGTGCCTAATATGCCACGGGGCGTGCTGAGGTGCCCTCTCGCTGGCAGGTACCTATGATTTTGTGAAGCTGCAATTAGGTTTGCCGTACTCGCTGGACTACCTTTATTAGCAAAGACTTATTCTAGCAGAATCTCGCAGTGGCGTTCTCTAGTAGACCTACTTGAAGGATCGAGTTTTCAAGAAGCTGTCCAGATGACACCAGCAGCCAGTTGCGCGGCGCGGCGAATTCCGTCGCCATTGCGACGCTAGTTATTTGCTTGAGAACATGCTCTGGTCCTCGAGTGGGCCATCTCTGCTGCAATCAGTCAGAAGTCGTTTTATTGATTAGCGGTAAAAAGACGAGTTGTTTGCTACCCAAGCACCCAAGCAAGCCAAGGTTCGAAAAGTAATTGTCTTGGACGGCGTTCCCAAGTTGCAGCACGCTACGTTAGCTGGCCCCGCTATCTCCTGTCAGTTTTCGAACCGGCTCACGAACCGTTGGGCTTGCAGACAAACCCAGTCCCTGTATCCGTTCCCGTACCTGGCGCGCCTGGATACTCCAAGACTTCGAACTACCAAGTGGGCCAGAACACAAACCAGCTTAAAGGGGCATTTGGCGCGTCCCGTCACCCCCCCACCATGCCCATAGAGTCGATTCTACGGATACGGACAGCAAATCTTTGCACGGAATATCTGCACCAGTTCGGAGCAAATTTTCTACCAAGAGACGTTATCATCGCATTGAGTAGCCTGTAGGCTGTAGCTCTGTTTGAATACCGACACCTTGAGCTAGTGCGCTTGTTCGTGTTAGTAACTTGCCTAGACACGGCACAGCGTGGCGGGCCGGTTGGCTAGTATTCAAGCCCGAGGTAATGCAGAAGCTATCCTCACTGCGGCTGGGATCTCTCTCCTCCAGGACCATGGGACAGCTGCCGCCGGGTACCCTGACACCCCAAGAATCAGGCCAACGGGCATGGGATGGATGGCGGGATGGTGCCGTTCAAACCCGGTCAACGTGGTGAACATCTAACAAGCCCCCGCCCTGGCTTGTCAGCCTGAGTTCCCGACTGGCGCGCCTGCCAGGGCATGGAGGCTGGGCCACTGGTGATGGGCTCTGGGAAGCCCAAGTGCCACTGTGCCTGGAAAACGCGGGCTGCAGCCACTTTCAAGATCAGCATCCCAAGAGCAAGGGACTTCATGTCCAGGCTGCGACAGGGAATCGCAGGGATCACAACACCCTTTGACGTTCCCTTGCCATCCTCCGTACTATTCTGCAGTCTGCAGTCTGCACCACTGCCCTTGGCCCTTGTCCCAAGTTTGGCTCCTGGCCTGTCGTCTCCCCAGGTCGCAGGTGCTCCCGCACACGCTTGATTACCCCCCCGTGGTGTGTGTGCTTCATCCCATTCCACCATGGCCCAGGAACCAACTCGACGGTGCCGTTATCCTTGCCTCCCGCATTGCATCGCACCGCCGAGAACCGTCAACCGTTGCAAGCCTGAAGACATGGAGACCAGCAGGGTGGCTCAGATATGGGTATGGGCAGGTCAGAATATCTGCTCAAAGGGAAGAAGATGTTGGATCATATTCGCAGCGACCCAATGTGCTTCGGGCAACAACAGTGCGCTTTCACAGATTTCGATCGTGTCATGGTGCAAGGCTCTCACTCGGCTTTGGCGACCTCTGTTGGCGGTATCTCGGGAAGAGAGATACATGTCCAGTTGCGATGGCAGTGTTACCGCCACACCATCCACTTTGGCTAGGGGCGCATGCAGCAAACAGAAGTGACTGTAAGATGCACCATAACGTTGACAAATTCATTTGCGCTGCACCCTCAGAACATGGAAACATCGTCATCGTGCCTCGAGCCTATCGATAATGGAATTGGATGTGCAGGCGCAAACATAGCTATGCCTCTACCATGGCTGAGTACTTTGCGTCATAGAGCGGAAGACATGGCCGGTTAATCAGGATGGGTAGGCTGGAACTGACCAACGCAATATCGCTACAGGCGATTACTGGCAGAAAGTATGATCTAGTCGGTCCTCGAGTGTGGCACTGGGCTGAGCTGGGCCCATGTGATGCTCCATGGCAACGTTGAAATACGACTGAGTGCGACCGAGACGTAGGTGTTTTGGTTAATATGAATCAATGACATGAAGTTCAAAGACATGAGGTTGAAGATAACCCTGGCAGCCTTAGCTCTAGCAACCTTGTGCGTCCATGTTCGCAACCCCCCGCTTGGCAACAGCATCTCCACGTGCTTGGGGCATGGTCCAGTTCCATCGTGACTTCTTAATCCTGGCAGCCTTGAGGTGAGCAACCACCCACGATCGTGTGTGCGGCGTGCCCGCAGCTCGTAGCCCAGTATTCCGTACCTACCTTACACACAGGAAGGCAAGGTAAGGTAAGGTGTGCATGTACTCCGTACCTTCCCACGCTTCTTTCCCTTCCAGGTTGCCTGGTGTTGCCCTATGGAGAGTATCCCCTACCTACTTCCTACCTACCTTACTTTTGTGAGGTACTACTGAATAGGTAGCTTCCACCTCCTGGCTCCTGGCTCGTGAGATGCATCGTCCTGCCTTGCCTCCCGTTGCCTGCCTTTACCATCGCGCCTCTGCTTCCCTGCCCTGTCTTCCCGCTGACCCCCGTCCCTTTCCCTGCACGACAACCTTACAACAAGTAGTCTGACCAACGTCACTCCAACTTCAAGGTCAATCTCGAACTCAGCGACGCCATCGTCATCATCATCACCATCACCATCACCATCACCATCACCATCACCATCACCATCACCATCACCATCACCATCACCACCGCCGACGCCAGCAGTTTATTGCTCCCGCATGTCGACACACGGCAGTGGTAGCCGTTCTCTTGCGACGCTGCCTTAACCACCTTGACGGCATCGCGAGAATCCGGTCTCCTCGTCTTCTTAGCGAGGCTATCCTCAAACACTATGGCAGCATCAATAAGTCGCCGTCTAAACTTTGTTCGCCCCGGCCGACAGTTCGGACTCGTCATAGTCTCGTCGCATATCTGTCTTCTCATACCAGTGCAACACACAACAACAAGCAAGACATATCCCTGGACTGACTTGGCCTGCACTCTTCTTCTTCTTCTCCTTCCAGACGAGTCGAGACGAAACGGAAAGAAGGACGACCCGACGAGCCACCTCTGCTACTGAAACATAGCTCGTTGGTCTCGTCTCCAGGTGACCTCGACTCGATTTCTCCACACACCATTCCCCAATGTGAGTCGTGCTGTTTCTCGCCCAAGTTACAGCTCCAGACGGCGCCATGGCGTCCCCTCCCACACTTCAGATTCTACCGTGGCCCCGTTACCTATCTAAGTAGTCTCGTTCTCTAGAACTCGTCTACCCTGATGCTTGTCATGAGCCATCTCACGCCACCCACGCAATATTCTCGAGACGGTCCGTCTGCTTCGCTAGCCGCCCGTCGTTGATGTTGCGCAATATGCGCTGGCAGATCGATGTGGGCGGGCCCTAGCGAAATGTGGCATGTCAGCGAGGAAGCGGACTGGAGGAGCGCACGCCAAAATCGCGTCTCTCTTGACCGATGTCACCCCTCCGCTACTTCGCGATTCATCCAAACACGGAACGATGATCCCCCCTCAGCTTGCGTCTTTTCCTCCAGCCACTAGGTATTGTACACTATACTACTTCTCCTGGAGTTGTCCAAATTCAGCGGACATCCCCGTTGCACCTGTCCACCTCCCGCGATTTATTTTGGGAAGGTCAATACGATGTTGATTATGACAATCGTGCAACAGGCAAGAGATCAAACCCAAGGCTCCCACCATCATCCCTGCGCGGTTGGTGTCGCCTACCCAAGATTCTACAGCAATTCATCCCATCCAATCTGCCGGTCATATTCTCGAACACTAGCTGTCCAACGTCTGCGCGACCTGCAACCAGGGAGCTCCCCAGCTATCTAGTGTCATGGCGAATAGACCCCCAGGGGGGGAAGAGAGACCGCGCACACAACTACACACCTCTGTGCCTGTGCAGTGTGACTGCGACCTGAGAACCCAAGAGTCCGGGCCGTCTCGCAGATATAGCAACAAGATCAGACAAGACATTGCCACAAACGCGGCAGATGGATGCAGAATATTGCACACAGCGCGTATTGCATCCAATCAACCGTGAAAAAAGCGGCGCCTTTTTTGCATCGTACTTGATGCATAGTCGAACTTGACCTTGTGACACCAAGCATTCTGGGCAGTCACTGAAGGAGCATTCCAAGCCAGTCGCTCTATTGGTCTTTGAGAGCTACTTACGTTCGAATTCGACCAGAACCGAATCGGCTTAAGAATATTGTCTCTCGGGGCGGCCGTTACTTGGATCCAACCCGTGCGTTCTTTAGAATCGTCGTCGTGTCGCGATTCAGCAATGTCGACTGCGCACACTCCAAGGCAGCACATCAAGCAACAGTACGAAGAGTCCGAGCAACCTCGTGGTTCTTTGAGGTTGGCACCGTTTCTGACCCCCTTGCCTCCCGCTCAACCCCCAACCCCAAAAGCCCAGGGTGAGACGCTCGGGTCGACTAGGCATTTTCGTGTGTGAGCAAGGGTCGTTCAATGCTAACCGTGACCGGTGTTTTTTGACAGGCAACGGTCCACCAAACTACCTTGAGGTAGCACTTTGCTTACCTTGGTCATACCGTCCCATTCCTCGTAAGGAGCAGGGGATTTCAGGCTTCTAGATCTGGCTCAGAAGCGCAGCTATTCCCCCGGACAGCTTCGACGTTGAAGCTACCTTAGGCTACCTTAGCAAAGTCGCAAACTAATACTGACATCGCCACTTCAGCTACGGATGCCGAAGAAGCTTATTCTCATGGTGAGTGAGCCACCGCCTCTCCACGGGGCGCCTGCCAACTCCCACCCTGGCTCTTCTTGGCTGGCTGACAGGCATCTCGGATCCTATGTACATAGATATCGATGGATCATACTGTGGGTGTTCGTCAGGGTGTATCTCCCGCTGTTGGAGCGGTGAGGATGAACTTCGGTCTAGGCTCTGCACATCACGTCGATATTCTTCAGCATTCGCTCCTTTGGCCTGTCTCTCTAGGTATTGCGTACCCTCCCACCGGGGGACCGGTTCCGTCCACACCTCTCTTCTCGCTGGCTCCCCTTACACCTGCCCACCCGATTCATTTAGCCGGGATTCTGTCGTCCACATTTCTCTTGGGGGGCCGCGGCATCATCCAATGGTCGTCCTCTGGACGCAGCCCATCACACCCCAGCTTCTCCTTAATCAATGTGCCGAGTGGCCAACTGAAGGGACGTCGGCCTACTTGGGAATTGGCGTTATCGCTGGTCCTATTTTTTGCTCTTTTTTCTTCTTCCTGTGAGGACCCGTTGCCAATCACTCGAGTCTCCCTGGCTCTGCCTAAATATCCGGCATTCTCTCCACGACGCCGTCTGCCTCTTGACTCTGCTTTCCCTTGCTTTACCCGTCCTTCCACACGCCTCCCAGTCACACCCATCAAGCCGTTCGTTCCGCGCAGTGCCTGACAAGCGTCTTAGCTACCCTACGCTATTTCTCCAGGGTCTGTGTTGCGTCATAAATCAGCTTGAGCCACTCCTCAGCGCGAGAAACCCCTGACCAGGCAATTCCCAAAAGCACACTCCAAGTAGGTTCCCTAGTTGCTTGACAGATGTACATTTTGGTTCCCCTTGCGAGAGGGAAAGACGCCGTTGCCAGCACCTGTGGCCTTTGCAAGGCTGGCCTGCATGAACTAATTCAGAATACAGGTAGAACAACGACGCACAAGTCAGGTCCCCCAGTAGCGGGACACAGCAAGGCCTGCAGACACATCCCAGATTTCGTTCGCACGGCCCCGGCGAACAACGTTCGACCAGCTCCCTGGTCCATCCCCGGAGAATTGGGAGCCCGTCACACACCACCCAAACAGACCGAGCCAGCGTTGAGGCATAGCTCCATTTGAGCAGGGAAGCAGACACACTAATCAAGCCCCCCTACGGATACGCTACCTACCGTCAGAAGGACTAGAAGAACCATCGACTTCTTCCTCGGGACCCCGTTGTCAAAGCCTTCTGCTCCCGCATTCGTTCCAGGTCAGGACACCCAAGCAGCGCCAGCCTCAAATTCCGTGCATTACTGGGTTGCCCTCCCCTGCACAAGTGTACACTACACACACAGACACTCACATACGCACACTTATACTTGCACACACACACACACACACACACACACACACACTCACACACTTACACACTAAGCAGACGCTGCAGAACCATCGGAATCCACTTGTAGCCCTCGCTCAGCCAGCCTTATCCAAATACAGGCGCAGACACTCCCCCGTCATTGCGCTCGTACGGGTCAGCAAAGACAGCAACTCATCAACGCGTTTCTAACACGTCCAACTCTCCATCCAAAAGGTTCGTAATTTTTCGTCTTTAATCTCCGTCTTTTCTTTGCTCCCCGTGCTCCCCGCCGCGTGTCGAATCTTGTTCAGCCTTTACGAATAGTCGTATTTCCGATGGGCTCCGAAATTGCATTTCGAGATGCATCATCTGAAGGCGTTGCTGTTCCGGCGCCTGTCCGCATGGGGCTTACACTACGCCCAAGCGCGTCTTTGTTTCAATTTCGGTAACGTCCCATGTTGCAGTCTGCGCATGAACATGGCCTGCACGACTCATCGCATCCCCCTTGGGCCTCTCTCCTTGTGTGATTGCCGTCAGGGGAGGGGGGGAGGGTCACCATTTTATTGGGGCCCTCTCGGGACCCGGTCGCGTGTTCTTGACGCGGTCGCATGAATTTGCTCCGATCAAAGTTGGGAAAACAAAACACTTAAGATGCTGACTTGAGTCGATTTGCAGCAAGCTGGGATATCTTTGTTTCACAACGTCGCCAACCTCGGACACACCTGCCCAAGATCACGGGTTCAATCTTTGCTCAACCTACGCCCGCACCAGCAACGAACCGAAGCCCACGGAACGCAGCGATCGCGACATTTAGATCAGTCTACCTAAGCACAAAGAAACGTGAGTACGTACGCGGACAACAGGCATCTCCCAGTCGGTTTCTTGCCAGCAAAGCGCTGGCCAACCTCCCTTTCTTGCCACGGATATTCCTGTTTCCTTGCCCACGCGTCCATCAGCCGTGATGACTTGATGGAAAAACCTTGCACCAAGAGGTGCGGGGATTTCAGCGAAGGTTGGGCATCAGGATGGGCCATCTCTCGGCGATCTCATATCATGCCAGCCTGGCTGGTAAGGGACATCGAACATCCCCGTTGGGATGAATTGGAGTCTGTCCTGATTCCAGGGAGGCCTGGAAGAGCCTGGTTCAAGGTTCATTAGCTACAGATGACAGATGGCTAACCAAGACGCACAGAAACATCAATATCAACTCATGACTGTCAGAGCCATGGCGCAGAACAGGCAGCCCGCGGGTGGCTACAAGCAGGAGCCTGATCACGTAAGCCACGCATTTTCCATTATTCTACAAACCTTTCCGTTTGGTCGTCATGTTATCGAAAGAAGTCGTTCTCCTGTGCTTTCCCCCCTTGTCCTCCCCATTTCAATTACTCAAGTTCGTTGTTCGCGCATAAGGGTGTCTGCCTCAGCTTGAACGCTTGCTGGCCCTAGCTGCCGGAAGACTCGTCACTCGGCTACATGCTTGGACGGCGAGTCGTGACAGGCGGTCACCACGGACCTCGACTGAAGCTCTCAAGCGGGAGTTGCAGAAGAGGTCAAACATGGATAGGGTTTGAGCTACGCGCACAGTTGGCGTCGACAAGATGAGTTTCCTGGGATTCCCGTGGCTTCCAGAAGATGGCAACGCTGTCGCAAGCTTGACCAGGTCAGGAATCCAAAAAGTCTGTGAGATTGGCAGGGTGGCTCCTGTTTCACCAATGACCGGGGCCATCGCAGGCTCCATTTGCATGAGTGGGACCTCCCGACCAGTGTACTACGACGCTATTCCCTTTTTGCACCACTTTGATTTTATTTTATCTTGATTTTTTTCATTTTTGCTTGTCGAAGTTGGGGGAGAGAAAAGTTGGAGAGAGGGTGAGGGGATAGGCGTGGGCAGCCAGACCAAACCAGCCGGGGTTGGGCAGGGCAGGGTGAGTGCTACCCAACCTGGTTCAAGCTCCAGGAGGCTGGGTGAACATTGGATACCTTGGGAAAGCTCCCAGAGACACGTTCATGGTTCTGCCCTCTACGGAGTACGGTCGAGTCTTCGCGCGCCTTTGACCGGGGTCTCACGCGGAGGTGCAGCCTGTTGCCTCTTTGGCGCGCACCCCTTGCCAGTCGCAGCAATCGCGACATTGCTCTTGTTGCTGGCTTTTGGAGTTGCGTTTTCTGTCTGCATCGGTATGTTCCTCGTGTTGTTCGTCGTCTTCCCTCTCGCGCTGAATAGAGGTGGTGGTGACAAGGCGAGAATCGATGGCGCAGGCACCAAGCCAAGAGGTGGCTGGTTCGTTGGAAATGAGGGACACCACGCAGGGCAAAACGGCGGCCAACGGCTTCCCGGGCCTGTCTAGATGCCTAGTGTTGTCTCGAGCACAACGGGTACCGACCTTTCAGCTTTTTAAGCCTTAGTGAGGTTGAGCTACGCTATGGGACACGCGCGAAAGCAAGCGTGTACTTTGTGCGCCTCCCCCTCGTTACCGTCTTCTTCCTTGGGCCTGTTTTCCCGACTACCTACCTACCTACCCACCCGCTCACGTGGACGTAGAAGACGGGAGTGTCACGAGCTCCTTCTTGTCATAATGTACACGTCAGAGCGAGGAGAAAAAGAAAAGAGATTCCACAGGCTAGCCGAAAGAAATCGGCTGAAGGAAGAGCTCATTCTAGGTGATGAGCTCTATCTGTGGATGTACGGCAAACACACTCGAGTCGAGGTATCCGTAGTGGTGTACTGCTCTGACGGGCCTTTCCCTGGCAAAAGCAAGATGAAGATGAGGTGACGATTGTGGAGATCTGGAGGCGTCCGGGTGGGGTGCACTCATCCTCTATCTCCCTCTCTCCCTCTCTCTTTTGCTCTGCGACACACGTTCTTGGTGGGGGCTGCCAACAGCTTTCCCCAATGACGGGTGGCTGAGCAATTGGGAGGGTGGGAGGGATGGGGGTCGGTGCTGACCTAGCCGATGCATTCATCACTCTGTTCGTTTGCCAAAATGATTCGGAATCGGCTGCTGTTGGAGGGAACATCTGCGCGAGTTCTGAGTTCACTTTTCCCCATCGATTGCGCATTGATAGGGGGTGGACATCAGGAATCGGGTGGATGATTGGCAAGAGAGGCAACGTCTGTCTGCGCGCCTGTCGTTCTTGTTTCGACCCGCGCGCCGGCAACGAGGAGAAGATGGGGAGAAGGTCTGCAGACCATGGTATAATCGTTTGCCATTGTTCCCACCTGGAGGCAAGGGCGGCGAGGGTGACTTGGCTGCCGCTAGTTGTGGAGAGTCCAAACCAACGTTGAACGACGAGGGTGAAGACAACCAGAACGCGCCCCCCATCTTCTTCTCTGAGCTGGTTTTTGGGGACGAAACGAACGTATCGATGACCTCGGAGCAGGCTTGTCAGGCGCCTGTTGCAGCGAGTACTGAGTACGGTGTTCCCGCAGTGCTGGGCAAGCAGAGCTCCGGGTTCCTGGTTGTGCCTGGGACGTGGGTGATACATGGGCCAGCGGCAAGGTCTCAAGTGCCAGTGCGAGTGCCATGCCCATATGCCCACCACCTCACTCCATTCTAGATGCCAGCAGCGCATTAGCAGGAGCAGGCATTCGAAGCCGGACCAGGAGGCCAGGAACGGTCAAGCAGCAAACGCGGGGGGAACATGCCAACGACAGCGCGAAAGTGAGTGCTATGCCAGGGCTCCCACACAAGCCGGGTCTCCTCAGGCACATTAGGTATCCCAGGCCGTTACAGAGAGTAAGGTACTTACCTAGTGTACTTCTCTTCCCCCGTCTCTCTTTCTCTCACACACAGACTGTCTCCGCCTCATGAGTTCCCACACCGCCTTGCGCCAGACAAGTGCAAGATGTTGCCAGGACCGGGGGTGAGGACAGGGTGAGGTGAGGAGGGAACCCGGGAATTGAAAGTGGGAAGCCTCTTTTTTGGGGGTCGGTGGCTGAAAAAAGGTACGACAAGGGGGCCAAGCAGCAAAGTTGCAGACGCCATGCTTTTGGAGTCGTATTTTTCACAGTTGCGGTCTGTCTTCCCAGTGGATGAGAGACTATGGCCCTCTGGGCTAAAGAGATGAGAGATGAGTGAAAAAATCATCACACAAGAGAGAGAGAGAAAGTACTGCGGTACACACGAGAAAGAGAGAGAGAGAGAGAGCAAGATTGAGGGCCCGCGGCGGCATCCCGGTAGTATGCTGGTCTGCTGGCTAGCCCCGGATGAGAGATGCCTGATTGGGTAGTTGACCCTGCTCGGCCCTGCAAGCGCGTGCCGCCATTGGCCATTTAATCTACAATGCAAGAGACCCCTGTCACGTTTCTTCCATGCGCTGTCCCACACACCCTTTTCGGCATCCACACGCCCCTCTGTCTATTCCCACACCAACCTCACCCCACTTGCACCTTTTTTCTCTTTTCTTTTTTTTCTTCCTATTCTTTTCCCAGTACGTACCACACCTTCACACACTCACACACACACCAACACCCACACACCCAGAGCAAATCCCGCCTGTCTGCCGCACTGCGCACACGCCCCCCTTTCCTTCCTCTCCAACACTACCCAGTACCTACCTCGTGCCTACCTTACGCAGTAAGGTAATGTACACCTCGCCTTCACCTTGTCTCTGACTCTCTCTCCTCTCTCCCGGCTCTTTCCCATGCACGTTGGAACTTGGAGACAGAGAGAGAGGAGGCAGTCGCAAAGTAAGGCTCACCATGATACCCTCACGCCCCTACCTTACCTTTTTTTTTTTTTTTTCCACAACGACACCAGCCCCTCTTGTCCCATCTTCACGTCTTCTGCGTCCTTTCCTCATCTTCCTTGCCCTCGTCCATGCCTACCACCACCACCGCCAATCCTCCTTCTCCTCCCAACACCCACGCCCTCCCCGGTCGTTATTATCCCCTGTCCGTCCTCCTCCCACGCGCAGCTTCTGCTCTTGCTCTGGGACCTCTCTGCAAGTTGCAGCAAGAAAAGCATCGAGAAGCTCTCTCACTCTCAGTCTTTCTCTCTCTTGTATGGGACTACTACTTGCGTACACCCAAACCGACAAGATTTCACTCATTGGTGCACTTTTATCTCTCTCTCTTCTTTCTCTCTACCTACCTCTCTACCTTCCCGCCGACGACGCCGCCGCCGCCGCCGTTACTAGTAAACGACTTTGCCTCTTGTCCTTTCCTGCACAAGTTACCGAGTAGCAAAGACCCGAAGGCGAATTCACACGCGCGCACGTACGTTCAAAACCCTGACAATCTTTTATTGCTCTGTTTTGCATTTGCTGTCTATTGCTGCTGCTATTGCCTGCTTTCTTGCTTTCTTGTATTCTGCCTCCTGCTTCTTCATCTTACCTCTCTCACACTTTCGCGCGCGTCGTTGCTTGGCTGGCGCATATCATTTGTTGTTGAGTACGTTCTGGCTCTCTCTTTCCTTCAACCGCAATCCATATCACACACACTGCACATATCTCTTTTTTTTTTTTTTCGACGTCGAGATATACACGGATATATCCTCCCGACCCTGGGCCTGGCTAGAGGTGTGTGTACAAGCGCATATGCCCTCGTCGTCTCGCCTCCAATTTGCCCCACGGCTTTGGTAGCGCGCTTACAAGGGCATTGCCGTCGACATCGCCATCTCCGTCGATATCTCGACTTTCGCCGTGCCGTACCCTCGCATCGGGCCCAAGGTCTCGAGGTACCGTGCCATTATATCGCCCCCCCTTGTATTACCTTACATTGCACTTTCTCTCTACCCCGAACAAGAAGCCGCACCGGTGCCGTATCAAGCTCCACTGCGTCTGCGCCCCCCTGACACTCTGCTTTCCTGTATCGTCTGCTTTTGGTCTGGCTCTGGCTATTACGTTCCCATTTTTGCTTTCACCCCCGGTTGGGCTGCTGCGGGCTGGGCTGGCTGGCTGGTCGGTCGTGTGTACGTCTGCCTGTCTGTTTGGCCCTGGATCATCTCTTCTCGCTTCTCTTCACATTGCTGCTGCTGCTGCTGCCTCACAAGTGAGAGCGGAAGCAGCAAGTGCGAGTTGTGAGACGGCAGAGTGAGGAAGGAGCATTCTCTCTGTCTCTTACTCTTCGCGAGTGTGAGAGAGAGAAAACACCTCTCGTACCAAGACGGACGCCTCCTGTCTCGTCCCCTGCCTCTTCCTTTGCTGCCCATCCCATCCTCCCCGATTCCCAGACATATCACTCCCCATCATAATTACCCACTTTGGATCCTACCCTGCTCCAATGTTCAAATAGCTACCCTGTTCCTCTCTTGTACCCTCACTCGCCCAATCCCCTCGGCTGCCCATATTCCTGCTGCACCCTCGCTCCGATCGCCATCTCTCCTCCGTCCTTCATACTCCCTTGTCATCTCATTGCACCATCCATCGTCTCTTTCTGCCTTCTGGCCGTCCTGTCGCGTCTCCCAAACCAAAGGAAGAACCCGCAGTAGGAACCAGGACCGCAGTCTAGGTCGAAGGAGAAGAACCCTCTTGTTACTCTTTTGAGTACTTCATCTACACTCTACACCACTACTACTCTTTTTTCCCACCTATTCGTACCGCTTCTCCGTATACCTCTCACTCATACTCCATCCTTCATCTTTCGTCTCTTTGCCCCAGTCGCGCAAATCTGCCAGAGCCAGGCCATCGCATTCTCGAAACCACTCGGGTTCCGCTTCCGAGTATCCTCGTCGCAGTACCTGCCCATTCTATTCTCTCTCTTTACCCGAAGCTCGCTACTTTGCTTGGGTAGTTATTATTCAGGGGTAAACCAAAAAAATCCGCCCCTCCCATCTTGTTCCCAAGTCATCCTTACCCAGCTTGTACACAATTCCACTTGCAGCTCACTCTCACTCTCTGTGGTGTGTATGTTAGAGCTCACTCTCACTCTCTGTGGTGTGTATGTTAGTGTGTGTGTGTGTCTATCCCCTGCCCTCGCTTCTCCGATCTGGCGGCGCCGTAGTACGGCGACCTTGCATCTGGTCTGGAGCCCATCCATCCATCCATCCATCCTGCTGCTTGTCTATGTATTCGTACCTTGCCTGCCTTGCCTTGCTCCTCTTCTTTTCCCCAAAAGAATATCCACATTTTCTTTTATCAGAAAGGGGTCCCGAACTGGGTCTAGCACGCCTCACCCGCGTGATCCTCGTCGACTCCCAGGACTCCCAGGGGCAGCAAGGAACCACTTCTCACCACCCGCACCTGCCTGCACCTGGATGCCCCCAGTCCCCTGACAGTGTCAAGGTGCAAAAAATAAAAATACAGACGCGCCGCGCCTTGCCTTGCCTCACTTTGTTTTTTCCTCCTTCTTGCTTGTTACCAGTCAACTTAATACGTCGAAGCGTTTCTTGGACGAGGGACTAATGGGTCTTTTCTCTATGCAGCATCACCCCCACCATCAGCCCCAGGGTCACGCACCTACACAGCAGCAGCAGCAACATCTGCAGCAGCACCAGCAACATCCTCGACCCTCGAGCGTTGTTCATCAACAGCATCATCCCCAGGCCCAGTCGCAGCAGCATCCCTCCTACGCCTCCGCCGGACACCCAATTGCTCCCGCCTACCAGCAACAGCAGAGCCAGCCCTCCAACGCTCAGCAGCAGCACTCCCAGGACGGCCTTCCCTACTACGCCCATCCGAGTCCCTACAGCACCCCAGGCGCGACAAGCGGATACACATCCGCTGGTGAGTTTTCCTTGTTTCCTTTGCTGCTATCCTTACCTTGCTCTGCGTGTCTGTCTGTGGCTGCGCCTGCCACAGGAGAGACGCGCGCAAAAGACGCGCCAAACACTGAGAAAAAGACGCGTCTTTTGCTGCCTTCTCTCTTCTTCTCTCTCGCGACAACTTGCTCTCTCTCGAGACAGCTTCAAAAGTTCACAACCGTTAACCACTGAATAGCAGACCAATCCGACATGATGGCCGCCGCTCAAATGCCGAGACCACCTTACCCTCCCATGTCCTACCACACACCGCAGTCGAACTCGCCCGCGTCGGTAGCCTCGCCTTCCCAACATGACCAGCACAGAAGCATCTACGGCCAGCCGCCGTCTCAACCTCTCCAGCAGCACATGTACTACCAGACGCCGCAAGCCCACTACCCGTCGATGCAGGCGCAACCCCAACAGTCTCCCTACGCGCAACACCAGGCCCAGACCCACCAGTCCATGTCTTCGCAGCCCAACATGATGATGTCTGCGCAGTCCCAGCAGCAGCAGCAACACATGCCTCAGCACCAGGCGCAACAACACCAGGCCCAGATGACCAACAGCCCCCGCGGCCAGATGAAGACGGAGCCCCAGGTGCCGCTGCAGCTCCAGAAGCCTCAGACGACTCCCATGCAACACCAGCAGCACCCCCAGAACGGCGCTGCTCTCAACACCCCCACAGGATCGACTCCTGGCGGTGTCAACCCCAATGCGGCGCCTGGACCCATTCCGGCCACTACGCCTTTGGTTGTCAGACAAGATCAGAACGGGGTTCAATGGATCGCGTTTGAGTACTCTCGCGACCGCGTCAAGATGGAGTACACCATCCGCTGCGATGTTGAGTCGGTCAACACTGATGAGCTCTCGGCCGAATTCAAGACGGAGAACTGCGTTTACCCCAGAGCCTGCTGCCCCAAGGACCAGTACCGAGGCAACCGCCAAGTATACGAGACCGAGTGCAACACGGTCGGATGGGCTCTTGCTCAGCTGAACCCTCCTCTGCGCGGCAAGAGAGGTCTTATCCAGCGTGCCGTGGACAGCTGGCGCAACAGCAACCAAGACCCCCGGCTCCGAAGCCGAAGAGTGCGCCGAATGGCCAAGATGAACACCCGGAAATCGGTTCAGGGCGGTCCTCACCCTGCTCACATGGGCGGCCCCAGTCCGCCAGGGATGGCTCAAGGTGCGGGTGGCATGGGCCCCGCGGGTGCATCAGCCAAGATGCCTGGAATGAGCATGGGTCATATGCCGCACACCAACGCTCCGGGTGGAGGGGATGAAGTCGGTATGTTTCACCAGATGTGATTAAGAAGCCCTCCGCATCTGCAGCGTTTGCGAGCCCAGTCGTTGTTTGTTGTTGATTGTCGTTGCATCGCACATACACACCACTGCCCGGCACAACCCCCAAAGATCGTTGATTATGTGATACCTTTCCCCCCTTTCATCATCACCAAAGTCTTGTCGGCCGTGATCCTAGAGCGGACACGAGCTTCATCACCACCAAACACATACAAATTTTTTACCTCTGTGCCTTTATTACATTATTACTCTGCTAGTTGGTCAGACGTCTCGGGAATGGGTTCGTTGCACTTTTTTGTCATTTTCCTTGCGCTCCTCCTGTTGTATAGCGCCGGGCTTTTTCGGCCGCATCAAAGCAACTTGCCACCACGATACAGCAAAGCTCGCCGCGGGTCGAGAGGGATTTCCTTTTCTCTACGGCACAGATCTGTACATTACCATAGTTGCGCTGCACGCAGTTGCTGCTGTTGCTGTCGTTAGTCACCTGACCCGAGTTTGTCGGGCAACAAGATGCGATGCCTCTTAGAAGAGACATCGGCAAAAAGTCGCATTGCTTAGCGTTTTTGGCATTCCATCCCCAATCCTTCTGCGTCCCAATAGCATGGCTTTGGCTGAAAGAGGGGAGGCTTTTTTTCTCGTAAAAGAGAAGATTGCCTTGCCTGTCCCAAAGACCTACTCTTATGCCACTCTTGTACCTCCAGAAAGAAGAAAAAAAGCAACAAACCCATCCCGACCCTCCCTTTGTCGTCTTGAGCGTTTCGCGTTGCCGTTGGCTTGTGTTGTCAGGGCTGTCGATCAAACATGTTTACCCCTCCCACACTCCGCTCGTCTGCATACGTCCTCCCGAAACCAGTTTCCAATCCTTCTTCATTGTAACGTTGACTGACATTTACTGTCTTGAAATAGGCGATGGCGAATACATGGACGAACACCATCACCACCACCAGGCCCCCGCTGGCCAGGAGGGCGGCGACGTCAGACAGTCGCAGGTCTTTTCCGGAAGCTACGGCGGTCACGGAGGCTACCCGGCACCCAGCTCCGGCTCGATGCCGCACATGGGCAGCAGCTCCCATGCCGGCGCCATCTCTGCCCGTCGCCACAGCCGCAGCGACAACGGCGAGCCCGAGGATTTGTTCCCTAACATCCCCGAGGCCAAGAAGCGCAAGTTCATTCTCGTCGAGGACAATGTCCGCGGTTCGCGTCTGCGTGTTAGAGTCACGCTCGACGGTGTCGATACCAAGGAGATTCCCGACTCCTTCCGCAAGGGCGCTTCCGTCTTCCCGCGGTCGTACTTCCCGCGCGAGATGCCGAGCCCGCCGCCGTCTGCCACCGGCACCAAGTTCTTCCAGGAGGATGCCGATGAGGAGGACGATGGCGTCGAGGACACCGAGGGCCGTAGCTCACGCCGAGGCCGTGGAAACAGCAAGTCCATGGTCAAGGTTCCCATTGGCGAGAACACCGAAGGCGAGGTTGCCATTCCCCGCATGAGGAAGAGTGTCCGAGGCAAGGAGGTCCGACTCAACGACCTCGGATACCGCATGGCCTGGCTGCAGAGCAGAGTCTTTGCGGGACGGACAGTCTTCCTCCAGAGAGCTCGTAAGTTTTCCCGTGTTGACTATGAAACGGCGAGCGAGCTGACATGAGTTATAGTGGACTGCTATCGCAACAAGACCCGTACTGCCATTGAATCCATCATGCAGGATGTCAAGACGCTCGTTCCTCACTTTGAGACGCGTGTCGGCAAGCGGAAGTGGAACGAGAGAATGAGAAAGGGAGAGGCTGATGAGTAAACGTCTTTCGACGTTGGACTCCAAATATGTTTCCTCATCCTCGCGACTATACGTTTACTATTGTGGGTCTCTCACTACGCACATAACCGCATTCCCATCTTCGCCACGGTCCTCCTCATTCAGCAGCATCATCATCAAAGCGAAAGTCACCATGCCCGCCCGTCAAAACGTTTTCAGTGCTTTTCAATCTCGTTTCCGCGCATTGTTAATACCGACGTCTCACGACCACGCACACACACATCGCACACCGCACACAGCTATACGCAAGCAAAAAAGGGTGCCCATTTTGTATCATAACGTGCCCGACACTACGACAAGTTTATAAAAAAGAGAGGCTGGGACCGGGAAATGAAGTAAAAAGTAACACCCTACTTGCAAAAGAGGGCCAGATGGATTTCCTAGGTTGACGACTTGACGATGACAAAAAACAAAACTTTTCTTTTTCTCTACGATGGATGACCGATTTTCTTTTACATTTCCCTGAGGGGGTGGGCGGACGCTGTTTTGGTCAGAAAAAGAAGCATTTTGTCACGCAAAAAATTTCCGTTCCTTGACACAGCAAAGAGTATACGGGCTTTGCTACGACGCCTTGGACCCCTACGACAAGACATGAGGAGGCTTTCTACTCTTTTTTTTTCCCCCTTCGCGCGGCATTAGTCTGTTGATTTTTGTCAGTCTGTTCTTCCATTTCTGAGTATGAAAGGCGGATGGAGTGGGATGGAGTCTGCGACGCTTTTTCGACTGCCTCTCTCCTACTTCTCGGTACATTTTTTTCTCTTCCTAGGGTAGAAGGGGGTTTTCACTTGCCGATTTCTTCCTTTTCCACGGTTCGATTTTTTTTCTCGTCTTGTTTGTTCTTTTCCCGATTCTGAGAGGCGTCGGAGAGCGTACTTGCTGGTAAGGATATGCTTGTTTCCCGGCGGGCATTTTTGGGAAGTGCGGATGGCACAAGGTCGGATGATGAAGAAATTTTTCGTGGATGGTGTGGGTTTTTTTGGTGTGTTTTATCTTGAAGGCAATGGGAATGAAAGGGAATTATAGAATTTTGGTAGTTAAGAATCACTTCTTTCGGTTTACCGTCTGTCTACCGTCTACTGTGAGTGACATTGGTATGAGAGATGTCAAACCGACTATCGGGTACTCTCTCTCATTTTCCTACGTCTACGCATCCTTGGCCCCCCTCGTTCTCCTTTCCCAAAGCCTCGTCCCTAGGCGGCGCCCTCTCCCCCCTCTGGAAAACGAACAGCGCCTCGTCCTTGCCCGCGAAACTCGGCAGCGGAATCTGCACGACCCTGACCCACTCGGGCTGTTCTTTGGCCATGTACTCCGCCATCGTCATCCCCCGGAAGCCGGTATACCCGTTCCCGTTCTGCGTGCCCACGACGGCGATGGTGTCGCCCTCGTAGGCGTCCACCAGCCCGCGCGTGAAGCTCCCCTCCGTGCCGCCTGCCACGGAGCCGCCTACGACGGGGTAGACTAGCAGCATCACCATATCTTTGCCTCCGGCGTGGGATTTGAGGAACGAGACGCCGTCGGAGGGGATGGTGTCGGGGACCCAGTTTGTGCGCCACTCTGATTGGAGGTTGTCTACGGGGTAGACTGTGAGGTTGTAGAGGCGGAGCATGTGTGTCCAGTAGCCGTTTCCGGAACCGATGTCTGCTATGTGTGTGTCCAGTAGCCGTTTCCGGAACCGATGTCTGCTATGGGTCGGGGCCCGGCGAGGAGGCGGAGGATGGAGAGGGCTTCGTGGGAGGGGGTGGCGCAGCCGAAGTGGTGCATCAGGATGGGGAGGACGTGGTGGGATTGTAGAGGTTGGGAGGGGAGGGGGCCGAGGTATTGGAGGGAGAGGGCGGACCAGGACCAGAAGTCTAGGGAGGGGTTTGGCGGGAGGGAGGTTTGGGGGTTTTTGCATTTTGGGATGGCGGCGAGGTGCGGGAGGGACGGGTGGATGTAGCGGTGGGCGAGGAGGTGGGCGGCGGAGAGGGCGCGGAGGGAGGATTTTTTGGCGTTGGCGAGGTGAGATTTTAGGGCTTGCGGGGTGGAGGTTTTTGGGGAGAAGATTTGGATGTAGGATTGGATGTCTGCTTGGGGTGGGGGGTCGAGCTGGTGGTGTTAGTCTTGAACGTAGTTGAGTGAGGTTGAGGGTGGTGATGGCTGGTGATGAGAGGGAGGGGTGTTGAAGGTGGTGGTGGAGGCTCATGGAGACTGGTGATGAGGAGAAGGGGGGGTTGAGAGAGAGACAATGAGGGAGTGAGGGATAAGATGAATGCAAGAAGGAGTGATGGCCGAGCATTACATGATGTATGACATAGAGATGCCGGGAGTTGGAGAGAGACCTGACGAAGACGTGAAAGGGGAGGGGGATGGGAGTGTGTGTATGAGAAGACCGAGCTGATACAAGAGGAGTCTGATATCTTAAAGTAGGGAAATGCAAGAACAACTGCAGGACATAACAGACAATCGACAACCCAGAGACCGCTCAAACGTACCGGCTTGCCCTCCTCGTCGCGGTACCACGCGTGCAACCCGTTGACGCCGCCCATGCTGACGACGCGCTGGACCTCGGCGAGGCGGACGGCCGTCATGGCGTGGTAGACGTAGGTGTCGCGCTCGGGGAGGTTGAAGGTGACGACGGTGGCGGCGTAGAGGTCGTTCTTGGCCAGGTGGTCGAGGGCGCGCTGGCGGCGGGCCGGGTCGCTTGCGTATTCTTCGGGGGTGAAGGGCGGGTTGGAGCCGACGCAGTAGGTGAAGGTGCCGTTTGGCTTGGGGGTTTTTGGCGGCATTTTTGGCGGGACTGCTTTTGGACGGCGGGCGGATGGGTAGGCGTGGATGTTTGGGAGTGGATGATGAGTGAGGTGAGAGTGTGAGGTTTTGTTCTGTGATTGTTGTGAGTAAGTGAGGGGTCAGAGTGAGAAATGAGAGATTTACCAAGAGTCGGGAACTGAGATTTGTAATACAGTTGTCGAGATCAGTCTCAGATCCAGATAACTCTGACTATACGAGTTGTTGAAGAGAGAATCCCTTGTTGTGACTGGATCTTGGTGAGAGGACGTTGAATGGTGGCCGGAAGGATTCGAGATTCGGACCCCCTTGTCGTCAGCGCTGGTGCCGAGTTTTCGGGGCCGTGGTCTCGGAGCGGACGGCATGACGTCGTTGGTTTTTGTTTCGGTGAGTGCTTGGGTCCCGCTTTTCTCGGTGTATCGGGGACGGCGTCCGTGCGTTGATTTGGCGCTCAATGGCACAGTATGGTGTGTAAGGTGGGGGGTGTTAGCCGACCCGACGAGCCGACCAAGTCTGGTTTCTTCCACTGCAATTTTCTATTTTCTTTAGTCTACATTCTAGAAGAATGAAGACTAATACCCAATGACCAATTTAGTAAGGACAGTTCCGGCATAGAAGTCGTCTGTAACTACAAAGTCTGCAACCGTTCTTTCGGGCTCGAACTAGAACCAGAGTACCGGGACGTCGGGGGCCAAATTTGTGTGCCGGATTCTCCACGACGAGGAGGCGGAGAAACGCGGAGAAATGCTGGAGCCGCCCTGCCTTTTCGCTCGGCTCAGGTCTGGCACCTAGGTGATGCATATTTCGTGGGTAGGTAGTCGAGTGCCTAAATCTATCGTCTTCAGGTTTTGGTAGACTCGACTCGAGGAGTCAAGCGAGTACTGCCAAGACTCTACTGATGAGAATTGATGAGAATTGACACTCTTGGGCTTTGGCTCAGTGAAACCAGCCATCCGTAGAGTGCTCCCTCAATAGCGAATTGTACAGCATCACAACGCGACCTCTGCATGTTCGGCATGGACAAATGTATAGCTCAGAACTTGAATGCTTATCAAAGCTGCTCCCGACATCGCACCCCGTTCGTTTGGTATCCATGATCCCCTCGGGAGTTGACCGCACGCACAACCCCGGAACCGTTCCTCACGAGTCTTGTCAAAACTTCTCTAATTCTCCCCCACACCACCCAACCCCAAATCCCTCCACAATGCTCCCCAAGTGCCAGGGTAGGGCCGATTCTTGCGGAGCGTTTGCGTTTGCGGGGTACGCCAACCCAGCCCATTGGATCGGGACCTGTCATGCCATGCTACTCTGTATCCATCAACGACAAATAAGCTACTGATTTTTTTTCTTCTTGACCTTACTGACCCCGGGCCTTGGCATTCACAGCTTCAATACTACGGTAAACGACCGCTTCGGACTTCGTCTTTCTCTTGACAAAGTGACGTAGTCTACTACACTAGCCTAGAGGCCATCCCCGGCTACCCCCGGCCGGCATTGGTCTCGTGGCATGACGCCGGGATCATCACCCTCGAGGGGTCGAGCCATGGTGGGCTTCATCTCACAGCATGGAGAACGACCCAGAAGTCCAATGTCCGACCTTCTGCCGGTCCCGCAGTCCATGGCTCAAGTACATAATGGCCAAAAGCCGCCCTGCTCCTCGGTGACCTGACGAGACGACAGCTGCAGCGTATGCTCGGCAAGACATCGTCGGTCACCACAGCTTAGCTCCCGGACCTCAACACCATGACCCGACTCAACCTGCTTGCCACCCTCTCCACGGCCTGCGCCACAGTGTCCGCCCTGGTCCCGAGACAGGCCGCCCCGGCAAACACCACCACCGGCACCGTCCCCACCGTCGACCTCAAGAACGGCTCCTACTATGGCCTCTACAACGAGCCCCACGACCAGGACTTCTTCCTCGGCATGCCGTACGCCCAGCCCCCCGTCGACAACCTCCGCTTTCGCGTCCCCCAACCCCTGAACTCGTCCTGGGACGGCACCCGCAACGCGACGGCGTACTCCCCGCTCTGCTTCGGCTACGGAAGCGACACCTGGGTCCTCGGCAACCACGTATCGGAAGACTGCCTGACCATCAACGTCGTCCGGCCCCACGGCGTCGCCGCGGACGCGAAGCTCCCCGTCGCGGTATGGATCCACGGAGGCGGCCTCACCAACGGCGGCAGCGCCGACCCGCGCTACAATCTCTCCTTCATCGTCGAGCAGGGCGTCCGCATGGGCTCCCCCTTTGTCGCCGCTAGCATCAACTACCGCCTGCACGCATGGGGCTTCCTGTGGAGCGAAGAGATCAAGGCCGAGGGCGCGGGCAACCTCGGCTTCCGCGACCAGCGCCTGGCGTTGCACTGGGTCCGGGAGAATATTGCCGCGTTCGGGGGTGATCCGGCGCACGTCACCCTCTGGAGCGAGAGCGCCGGCTCCCGCAGCGTGGCGTCGCAGATGCTGGCCTACGGAGGTCGGGATGAAGGGCTCTACCGCGCCGCGATCCTGCAGAGCGGCACCGGTCTCGGGACTGACTTTGGCGAGGTGGAGGCGTCGTCGTCTGCAGCTACGTGGCAGGATTACTACAACACCATCATCAGTAAGACAAACTGCTCCGCGGCGGCCGATACGCTCTCCTGCCTTCGTAGCGTCCCGGCCTGGACCCTCAGCGATGTCTTCAACACCACGACCACGAACCCGGCCTTTACGGGCGTCGTAGACGGCGAGTTTCTCGAGGCACCGCGCCACGAGCTAATCAACGAGGGCAAGTTCACGCGCGTGCCGCTGCTGATCGGCGCCAACTCGGACGAGGGCACGCAGTTCGGCGTAAAGGGCGTCAACACCACGGCGCAGTGGCAAGCCTACCTCCGCTCCGGCGGGGCGGGTAACCTCACGATCGAAGTCCTCTCGGCGCTGTACCCTGACATCCCGCGCCTCGGCACGCCGGCGACGCTGCAGGGCCGACCGAGCGGCGCGCAGGCGAACTTCGGCGCCATGTGGAAGCGCGTGAACGCGTTCGCGGGCGATCGCGCGCAGCATGGTCCGCGGCGGTTCTTCGCGCGCAACTGGGCTGGGCCGAGGGGGAACCAGAGCGTGTACTCGTACAACTTCAACGTGCTCGTCAACGGTATGACGCCCGCGGAGGGGGTGAACCACTTCCAGGAGGTTGCGTTTGTGTTTAATAACACGGGCGGGTTGGGGTACGAGACGGCGGTGGCGGTGAATCCGTTTGAGGGGAAGCCCGAGACGTTCAAGGCGCTGGCGGAGATTATGTCGCGGATGTGGGTTGGGTTCATCACCGAGGGGGATCCGAATGCGAATGCCGGGGCGACGGGCGTGAAGTGGCCGCGGTATGATGTTGAGAACCCTGAGATTATGGGGTTCGATGTCAATGTTACCGACTTGGTTCATGTTCAGCCGGATACGTACCGCGCTGAGGCGGTTGAGTATTTGATTCAAAAGCTTTGGTCGTAAGGTCGTGGGGTTGGTGATGTGGAAGCAAAGAGGGGCATCGGTAATTCAAATAGCTCATACATGATCCATCACATGTTCACGGTATGGACAACATCCGGTATTACTGAACGATACTTGAATTCACTATGACCTATCTCACTAAGCGTACTTGAGGCCGAATAGACTGCCCCACCTGAAGATCTGGCAAACAAAAACCCGAATACACCCTAACTTTCCTCATTAACCTAGGCTTCATTACACCTAGGGACAAACAAATGAACACTCATATTTGACACTCCAATAGAACCGCGTTTAAGCTCTGACCTTGCGGAAGGTCGTAGGGTACGGGTTCAGGATATAAGTCGGGGTGTAGGTCGGGTCCGCGGTCACGGTGACGGTAGTCGTGCGAGTGACAGTGTCATCGGGTGCCGTGGTGGAAGTGGAGGAGGTCGAGGAGGAGGTGGAAGAAGAGGAGCTCGAGCTGCTCGTGGAAGTTGGCGTGACGGTAACAGTAACGGTGCCGGTGCTGGACGAGGTGGCAGACGAGGTGGTAGACGAAGTGGTCGACGAAGTGGTGGAGGAAGTAGTCGTCGCCGTGCTGGAAACGGTGCTGCTATGTCTGCCCTTGCACCTCAAGCGACGGGTACGGGTGTAAGGGGGCGGCATGGCGTAGTACCCATCATCCTTCTCCTCCGTCTCCTCCTCTTCGTCCGCAGAAGGCTCGGCAGTGCCAGTCGGCACATACAGCTTTCTGGGCTCAAGAGTCTTGGTGGCCCACGGCTTGACCAGGCGCCCAAGCTCATGAGGACATCTTCCGTGCGTGCAGAGGGAAGAATCGGCGTCCTCGCCCGCGGAGGGCTCGGCAGAGTCAGTCTCCACAACCGGCTGCCTGGGCTCGAGGGTCTTCGTGGCCGACGGCTTCACCAGGCGCGCAAACATGTGAGGGCAGTCTTCGTGTGTGCAGAGGTAGGAATCGGCGTCCTCGCTGGTGGAGGGTTCGGCGGCGGCCGTCTCGACGACCAGCTGTCTGGGCTCGAGGGTCTTGGTGGCCGCCATACTCGCGATTTTGGCCTTGCGCGAGCGCCTCTTGGGACAGTCTCTGTAGGAGTCGGCGTCCTCCTCGTCGGCGGAGGGCTCGGCGTCGTCCGTATCCTGTTGCTGTCTAGGCTCGAGGGTGCGGGGAACCTCCATCTCCTTGGGGCACTTGTTGTGCGTGCAGAGGGAGGAGGACCCGGTGTTCTCGTCCGCCTCGTCGTTTCGCTTCTCGCGCGCCTGGAGGGGGGCAGTAGGCTGAGGAGCATCTCTCTTGAGCGCAGCGGTCCTTGGTGCCTTGGGCTTGATGATCTCGTGGCGGGTCTCTACGAAGATGGGCAGAGAAGGGGGTGGCTTCGCAGTATTGGTCTTCTCGCTTATTACTGCGGTCGTGGTCTTGTTCCCCTTCCCCTTCCTCTTCTTCTCCATGTTGATGATCTCGAGGACCAACATAGGGGGGATATTCTTGAGGGAGGAGTCCTCGGCCACGGCTGTGGTTGTCGGACGCGGACCCCAAATGGTATCGGCGTTGATGAGGGAGGGGCCGACGGAGACCAGCAGGATGCCGGCCAGGAAAGCAATGTTTTTCATCTTGAAGGTTTGTCGTAGGTTATGGTCTACAGAATTGATGAAATCACAGATGTGAGAAGTTGACAGAAGAAGCAAGGGAAGAGGGAAGAGTCTGGCAGAAGATGGGCTTATATACATTAGTAGTAAGAAGCAGGTTCAAGCTTTGGAATAGAAAATTCGTTGAGAAGTCCACAAGGTTGCTTTCCCAGATTCAGCCTTTTCAATGGAGCTGCCAGGACGGTGCTTAGCGGAGCAAGGCCGTCAAGGCTCTAAAACTCCATTTGCTACCTATCCACGAGCAAAGCTTCAGTTTTGAAGGACCATATATGAATGTCACATCGTGGGACAGATCAAGGCATCCCAAGCGGAACATGATTATGGTGGAGAAAGGTTGTCAGAGGCATTTCGACGGGACAGGGGTATGCGGGACATATATCGTTCTTCGCTTCCAAGCAGCCAGACGGTTCGTGACTTTCAAGGTGAGAGGTTGTCGATGATGGAGACCGGTTGATACCATTGTAAGCACGACAATTTGAGTTTTGTGGCGGACAAAATTCTTCAGATTATCAACCTCAACGGACTTGGTGGCTTCATTGATGCACTGGTGACTTCGTATCTTCAAGGCGAAACTTTATGTCTTCGATTCCAGACTGTGAAAATTCTTGCATCGCTTTCTGTTCCCTTTAACCTCCCGTTTTTACCCGCTATTGAAGTTATGCATGAGCCGCCCCGTCATCAACATCAACCGCTATGGCTTTATCAACAGTAAAGGTACGCACTACGGGTCTCCAGCGATTTCAAAGAAAGACTTCCAAAACCCTTCATGTGACTTAACGGGAGATGGAGTACCAGGAGGTAGAGCTTAAGAAGCAAGGAAAAAGCAAGAGTTCATTTCGAGCTTGATGAGAGCTCACATCACTCTGCGGAAAATGACCTTTTGGTGAAACTGTACTGACCAAAATGAACCTTGGCAGATTCTGATATGTTGCTGATGGACACAAAGGTCGACAAGGAAGCGCAAGGTTGGAGGAGGCCAGTAGAGCGGCTTTCTTGTGGAGTGGCATTATCTTGCTGTGGGATCCCCCGTTGATAGCTTCTATGAGGCGGGATCATGCGACAGGCAACTCGGAATACCTCGGAAAATGGTACTGACCACGGGGCTGGACGTATACTTGATCCGGAAGAGTGAGAACTCTGCTTGAAGGTCTAATCTGAGGCGTGGTACTTGTGAATGAATATGGACCTTGCGACGGAAAATATCCTTCCCGCCATGAAACGAATCTCTTTACTTCTCAAGGCATGCGATTGCACGACCAATGCCGCGAATGCTCCGTTTCAAAACGCTGGTATTTGTAGTGAGCCACAAAGTTAGCAGTCTCTGTTATCAGTGTGACTTCTCGTAGGATCTTGCAGATTCGACAGTGCTTTTTGTACCGTTGTTTGCAATGGACTCATTGGCCAGACAGCTTCTGTTTGGCGGGTGTTGAGAGTAGTGAAAGAAATCGGGACGCAAATCTCGGTTAAAAGTGGTCATCTTTAACGTATTCAACACAGAATATATACAGATTGATGTCTGGGCATGACTTGAGACGAAAGCCTGTTACGATCCTCGAGATCATTAAGAAAGAGGAAGGGAAAGGGGAACAGGACCACGACCGCGGTAGTAAGCGAGAAGACTAACACGGCAAAACGCCCCCCTTCTCTGCCCATTATCGTCGAGACCCGACACGAGGTCATCAAGCCAAAGGTACCGAAGATCAGTGTTCTCGAGGTATCTATTATATAGTGAACATACGGGCCAACAACGATGTCAGAATGGTAGGAACAACGGTTGCGGCATCAATCCTAGCTTATCAATAGGTTCCCATACATTTTGAACAGCTTGATTGACGAGCTCAAAGCACACGAACAGGGAACCATCCTTAGCTACTGGGTCATTCAAAAACCTGGTTTCCCCTTTAATCACGGCTGACGGTCGGATCGTGGCTTACTTATATGCGTGGACCATACCAACCGTGCCAGGCAGTCGACCAGCGATGACCAGCTTGGATTCCAGAAGTCTTTGGAATTATCTGCCATCTAGAGTAAGGTGATTTAATGTAGAAGGGCTTTTTAAGCGACTGTGGAAGACGTTGTTGGTCAACCACCTTGGTCGAAGCTCTCAGCTCCAGCCATGAGAGAATAATTCCATTCACGCGGCTGCTTCTCTACCCTCTAAGCAAAGAGAAAGAAAGAAAGAAAGACAGAAATGAAAGCCCAGCCCACCTTCTGAGGACCTATGAACTTTCTACGCATGTATGACACTCTTGAATAGCGATGCGAGGACTTTTCACGAGACTCCGCGCAGCACTTCGGTGGCGACCCGGCATTGCCCACTACACTAAACACGAGTCGGTGATAATACCAACCAAATTTATTGGCTATAGAGGGTATCGAGACGAGTGGGAGGGTCATATGTCGCGCGTGTGTGAGAGTGAACATAGACAGGCCTGGCGGTGACTCGGACATATGCAATTAGGGACCCCAAGGCGGCACCTCAACAGCAAAGCGGGCGTGATTGCTGGAAGATGTTAGTTGCTTCTGCTTATAGTAAGGGTTGTCTTGTAACTTACTCTGCGTTCTTAACCGCCTTCTCGGGGTCTTCAAGGGCAAACTGCTTGCAGTAGTCGACATCATACCCATAGTCCGTTGTTCCCAACACATCTCGAAAGTGCGTCGCCTCATGGATGATGGTACTATAAAAATCTCAGTCAGACACAATCCTTGGAATCACGATTATGAGAAGACACAGGTGACCTCAAGATCGGGACATGAACTCACTCCCACTGATTCCGATGCCGCCCCGCAGGCGGAAGCATCGCCTCGTTGAAATACACACTGCAGATTCTGACGTCGCCGTACGTGCCGCCAATAGTCGCGTATACAACGGTACTTGTACACGAGCAATCGTACGAAAACGTCGTAGCCAAATCAGGCGCGAATTTCTGTTCCAACGACGTTAGCTCACAAGCTCATCGCCTCTCTCTCTGTCTCTTTCTTCCCATGAGACTGAAAAGCCCCGCCAAAACGCACCTTGAAAGCCGTCAACACGCGATTATAGCGGTCGGTGCTAAACTTGCCGTACCACGTCGTCTGAACATCGCTTCCGTTGGGGTTATCTTCCAGATGCTCAATCGCCGCGAACGACTTGTTCGTCGCCCGCTCGATGGCCGCTTCGAGGGTGACGATTTGCGCGGCGGTGCAGGACTTGAAGGTCGCGGCTAGGGTGCCGGACACGACGGACAGGAGGCCTACCAGGTGAGAGATTCTCATCTTGTCCTATGTTCAAAGTCCGAGGCAGAAAGCTGTCGACGACGTTGAAATAAGTCTACCAGTCTCAAAGGTTGAGGATTCGCGAAGCCTTTATTCTGCAGAAAAGCGGATGTGGTGTCATATCGCTAATTCTTGGCAGACATGCATTAGGAAGGTACAAGTTTGCCGGCTTCCATCTCCCCTCTGCACTTTCCGTTCCAAGGTAGCGAACCGCGCAGGGATGCATTATCTCGTATTTTCGCTGTAGAGTTACAAGACGATTTCTGCATGGCTTTACTTCAACATCACCCGTCCATGACTCCATCGCTGAGAAGCGGCTTTCCGACGATGCATGACCTCAATAGAACTTGGGGGCACGTTTCCTTGAGAATTTATCCATTTCTGAAAGGTCACTTCATCTCACAGTACGCAAGGTCCAGAAAGTCATCGAAACTAATCAGAGCTCCATGGTCAAAAAAGTCCCCTCACGGCACCTCTGAAAAGTCGGAGTGGGATGAGTGCTAGAAACCCAACAATACAGAACGATTCCTTGTTCGAAACTCTCTTTTTCGAGCCAGATGAGAGTCCGACATAGATTCCAGAGGGCTTTTCACGAGCAAAACCGCCAACAATAGCAGCCACGACGTTGCGCGCCTGAAGGCGACCGGCGCATCAACCCCATCTTCGTTCCCCGATCAGTCTAAGATAAAGCCACATCCATCTCGCCGTATCGACCTCAAGGCCAAAGACCTGTAGGCTTTGTCATTGGCGAAGCGCGCAGAGTTCCTCGAGCTGCGCGACGCGTTTCTTTTCCACAATGGTAAATCCAGCCCATCTATGACAAGGACGTGGATCGTGAAGCAGTGTGTCTCGGTCCTCTCGGAGGTCCCGCATCCGCGTCCGTATATTCGTAGACCCACACCCGGCCGGAGGGCAGGGGGGCTCCCGGACAGGAAGGCTTTGTGTTATACCTCTTCATCTGGCGCTATCTTCATCTTGCACCTTATCGATCTTCCCATAGACAATAGCTCCGGTGAAATCCTTCATCAAGAAACATACGTAATGCCTCTGTTTCGCTACCTTCTCCATGACTTCCAAACCCGGCGTTCTTTAACTACCACATCATTGAAGTAAATGAGTGTCAAGCGATGCAACTCAACGTAATATCAAAGCAGCCCCGAACTAGAACCAGCCAGACGATCGTATCTCTGTCAAGATACTATGAGAATGATGTGACTAGAGCTGGTTAGTCGTAGTGAGGCAAGGCACATGGACAGGAAATGCCCCCGGCCGACACGGATTCGATGAGCCCTCGAACCCCTTCTCCAAACCCATCAACCAGTCACGCTCCTTAACTGCTTTCTCAACCTCACGCAACTTCACTTAACGAAAACAATGAAAGCATACTCAAGTCGTTCAGTCAGTTTAAAACTGACATGAGGAAGCAGAAGAAAAGGCATAACAAATCGTGAAATCCAAAGTGACGCCTCCCAAGCTCATCCCGCAACGCCTTCTTCTTGAAGTCGCCCCAAGAAGCCAGCCGGCCGGCCACACACCTCCGGACAAGACCGAGCACGAAACCCCTCACCCGTGGAGCTAACCTCCGTGCGTAATGGTGTTCGCGCCAACTCCAAGACCAGTTCGCGCAAACCACCTCACGAGACCATTATTTCTGGGCCCTACAACCCTCCAGAACCTCTGATCTCACTCCTTCGGGACCCCATTCTCCTTCCCAGAGGCGTCAATCGTTCATGGCCAAGCACGGAAAAAAGTGGACGGAATGTATCATATGCAAATCCAATGATACTTTCTTTTTCTGAAATTGACATGATAGCCGCTGGGCCCAATCAATCCACACGTGAAAGTCATAAATATCTCTCGCTTTCCCAAATCTGTGAAAACAAATAAAAAGGACGTATAAATTCAATGAAAAGATACGCTTCTCGCTTTCAAGGGCTCCTCGTCCAATGCTGCCGTTAGATAACCAAAGCTCCGCGAATACAAGTATCATCATCTCCTGCTACATGCTTCCTCTTACATCTGCCCCCGCCGTACTCATCAGCCCTCAATGGCAAGAGTCTCGCGGTCACGCTCTCGGTGGCGGTGGTGATGGTCATCACGTCGTCTCGAGTCGTCCTCATACTCGTCTTCGTCTCGACGATGCCTGCGGTGGCGCTCTCTGTCGCGCTCCTCGTCGTACCGGTCATCATCGCCGTCTTCTCTCCTGTGATGACGATGCTTCCGCTTGTCGTCATCTTCGCCATCGCGGTCACGGCCTCGATCCTGGTCCCGGTCGCGATCGCCGCGGTCCCGGTCCTTACCAGTCTCTTCACGTCTCCGTTCTGTTTCACTCATTAGTCCATGCCAGAGCAAGTGCTTCTAGTTTCCCAACGTACCTCTCAAGACCTGTGTTGCGGCGGCATAGGCCTGGATCTCCTCCTTGCTGAGAACGCGAAGGACAATGACGAAGTCGTCTCTGACTTCGAACCGCTCCTTGCCAACGGTCAAGGCCTCAGGATTCACGATCTTCCGGCTGATCTTGGTCCATCGGGCACCAGGGGGAACTTCCCTCAGTTTCTTGTCATCCTTGTGAGGTGCCACACCCTCACGAATTGGGTTGTCCTCTTCAGGATACTTCTTGGGTGCCTTCAAGATACCCTTGAGAGGCTTTGCGTCTGACTTGTCGCGAGGCGGAGACACGACGCGGACCTGCTTCTCGTCGCGAGGCGGTGTGAGGTCGCGGTCGCGGTCGCGGTCACGGTCGCGATGTTCATCTCTGGATGAAGTAACGATTGAGTCGGCTGAAGGGAGTGAGACGGGCGATTCTCTCTTTGGTGGCGGTGACTCCTTCTTGGGTGAAGGTGTGCGTTCCTTCGGCTCTTTATGTGGCTCGCGGAACGGAAGATCAGCGTATGTTTGCTTGTCTGATTTTTCATCTCTTTCAGATCGTTCGGGCCTGTCCAATCGGTCGGATCGTTCGTATCTCTCCGACCGCTCTGGACGTTCTGAGCGCTCCGACCGGTCGACGCGGTCTGACCTGTCAACAGGAACGGGAACTCTTTCTGGCTTGTCATCCTTCATGGCTGCCAGTTGCTCCTTCAATTCCCGAATATCGTTGGTGTTGGTAGGATTGAAGCCAATCTGCCGCTTAGGACGCCTCGACTTTTGCTCGTCATCTTCCGGGGACACATCTCGTTGTGCAGCTGTAGAATCGCCCGTGAGCTTGGCTTCAGCATCCCGGCGATTGCGGTCACGATCACGCTCTCGCTCACGCTCTCGATCGCGCTCTTTTTCACGCTCCTTTTCGCGATCACGGACATCAGCCTCTTGCTCGGCAGCGGCCCTGCGAGTTTCAACAATGACGGGTGCACGATCACGAGGGTCCCGAGACTCCTCCCGAGGCTTGTATCTCTCGGCAGCACGCGCTCCAGGATCCTCTTCATCGCTTCGGCGCCGAGGCTCCCGGGACTCCCGCTCCGACTTTTCGGGGCGCTCGTCCTTCTCCTTGTCCTTGTCCTTCTCCTTCTCCTTCACGGCTGAGCCGAGGCCAATCGCTGTGGCGGCAAGACCAAGTCCTGCACTCAACTTATCACGCAGGCGCTTCTTCTCGGCTTCGTCCTCATTAGCTGTGCTAGTCCGCCGCAGATGGCGATCTTTGTCCGTCTCGAGGCGGGCTGAATCACGCTTGGAGCGATCCTTTTCGTCTCGGCGCTTGGCATCATCGTCGGATCCTCTCTTGACATCCGGAGGAGATGTTCGATGACCACTTCGAGACTCTGGCCGGGGACCGCTGCGCGACTCTGGTCTATATCCAGTGCGTGAGTCTGGGCGATAACCATTTCGAGACTCGGGTCGTGCCTCTCTACGTCGGTCTTCGAAATCGCCGCCCACGGGAGCTGAGTCCGTACGGATACCGAAACCACGGCTAGTGACTCCATTATCGTAGTAATCACCACTGCCATAAATGGGATCATACTTGCGATCAGGCTCCCGAGCCTGTCGCTGAGCCCGATCATCATCGCGACTTCGGTAGTAATCCTCGTGATGACTGGATCGAGGGGGCGCCTCGTTATACACTGATACAGGCCGCCGAGAGGCAGTTGCTCCTGCGACAGTCGCTGCCGCTACGGAAGTTGCTGCGGCGACATCCATGGAAGAAGGGACACCACCAGTAGAGCGTCGGCTGGTCGGGCTTGGAGGTACTGGTAGATGGACTGGCGCCGCAGGGGCTGCCGGAGGGACTGAGCCTTGGGCTGGGTCGTAAACGTTCGTAGAAGAGCGATTGATCTTATCCAAGCCCCAGGTGGTGGGCGGAGGACCTGCTCGCTGTCGACCACCATCATATGCGCGACTAGTGCTTTCAGTTGTCGTAACATTAACACTCGGTCGGTAATAGCCACGGTCGATGCTCTCTCGCCTGCGTGATCGTGAAGGTGGTCGGGTGTGATCCAAATCGTATCTTGCCAAATCGCTTGGAGTAGTATATTCGTAGCCATCCGTGCCGCCAATGTCGACTGGGGCATTTCCATGGCGGGAGATATTGGTGTAAATGGCCGAAGACCTCGAAGGGCGGTACGAATCGTGCCTAGACGGTGTAGGATCGAGGGTTCGCTCGCGCATGCGGGTGAATTCTTCGTTGTCCATGGTTGCGCTGTAAGAGCCACCGCGGTGATGGCTTCGGGAACGTATGGATGACGCAGGCTGCGTGTAAAATGTCGAGTCGCTGGAGCGATACTCATCGCGAGTCGGGCTGCTATGTCTGTTGCTCGACGAGTGGTGCGACGACGAACTGGCCTGCGGCGGTCGGGTTGTCGTGGTAACAATGACTGGGCGGGCAGAGGTTGAGTCGAGGGTCGATGAGCGATGAGAGCGATTGCGGCTCGCTTCTCTCAGGCCTGGGCCGCGGGCGAGGGGGTCTTTGGTGACTGCATAGGTAGTGGTCGTGGTTGTCGGCGTGCCGGAATGATGGCTTCGAGAACTGCCAGAGGCATATCTCGTCGAAGACGTGGGCATGACATGAATATCACCCCCGTACATGGAACTGTAGCCAATACTGGTGGGAAGCGAAGCCCTGGCAGGATTGAAAGTCGGCGACCGCGGCCGAGCGGTGGTGTACCGCGATGAAGAGTAGCGGTGATCCATGGCAACGTTGACTAGTTGAGTCGTCGACAAATCGTGCTACTTGTGGCTATCGCTTGTGGCCGCCGAGGTGCTTTCTCTTCCGGATGAGTTGGATGAGGCAGAATGCTCAGCGCCTCGAGGGTGCACGTCGACGGAGGAGGATGAGGTGAGGAGGGGCAGTCGGGAATTGGGTTGGGCGCTGACCACCTTGAACAGATGGATATGAAGCGGGACGGCCGTAGCGGCAGGACGCACGTCGCAACCACGTGAGGAATTCCGCCCTAAGGAAATTTGGTCTCGTCTTCTCTCACTTTCCTAAATTTTTTTCTTTCCCCTCTCGGTCGCTTTGACTTGGAGGTGCTTTGGCGCCCTTTTTCGGCTTGTCGCTTGTTTGGGCGTCGATGTGTCTCACTTTGTTTTCTGATTTTGGGCGATAGAGCTACCAAGTGGATGGTGCCCTATTTGTTCGCTTTTTTCCCCCTTTGCACGGAGAGTGAATGAGAGAAAGAGGAGGGGCAAGTCGTTGGGATACCCGCTGAAATGGGATGTGAGGTGGATTCTTTTTGGTTGATGAGAGATGGCGGGGTCCCAGTTTCTTCTCAGATCACTTCAGTCTGCTCTCTTCCCGTTCCTCTGGTCGTGTTTGTGGTGGAAGACCCCCGTCAAATGGGCTGGTTGTCAGGTCGGGTTCTCAGGTCGGGCTAGCAGGTCGGGCTGGAGTTGGGTGGACTCTGTCGTCGGATCGCTGTCGAAACGTCCCAGTCTGTCTGTTGTGGACTGTACTCCGTAGTGGAAATCCAACTGCATGCATCTGCAGTACCGTCGGAAAAGAGGGGCGAGTCAGCTTTGTTAGGAGACTCAAGTGAATGTTGAATGGGCGGGCGTAGTCTCAAAAATAGGATGAATGAATCCATGCAAGGTCTCCATATGGTTCCATACACTGTGGATGGTTGTGCCGAGTATAGACCATATGCATAGCGTGTTTGTGCGTACGAGAAAGATGAGGTGAAGAAGTGGGATGTGTGTATGTAGGAGGAAGGGAGAATTACTTACCAGATATTGTATTACAGAGATAACGTCACTGAGGCTGAGGCATCCGAGAAACGCAAAGAGAGAGAGAGAGAGCCAGAAGAGAAGGGGGGCAAAAATTGGGCAGTGGTTGAAGACACTGCGACGTCGAGTATTCTGGGAGGGGGATTATCCCGGGCGCAATGACGGAGGGAGGAGTCGACTGATCCCTGTCGACTCAGCAGCAAGGATCGCGGGGGGTTCGCTTTGATGATGGATGCTGATGAATGGATGCACCGGACCCTCTCCAGGCCGTGTATTCTTATCCCCTTAGCAGCAGAGAATGGGGAGTCAGGGAGACAGTCAGCAAACAATGGGACAATACGACTGGTTGCCCGAGAGCTTGTCTTCGGTGTAGCGGGGAACCGGCTGTAGTGTATCCGTACAAAAGTACGAAGTACTGAAGGCGTCGTTTCGGTGGTATCGGTACGGGCGTTGGCGAATTCTGCGAAAACCAAGGACTTGGGTGATAAGGCCAAGGATGTCACTTGTTCGAATGGTGTAGTATACGGGCACTCGAGGCGCACAATGTTCCTCCAGTAGGGGTCTTCGGAAGATGGCGAGTGGCTGCGGTTATCCGGACTTGACGACGGCTGGTCGCTTCTCGTCGTGACAAGGCTGCATGTAGCGTAAATGCCAAAGAGCGTCTTCTTCTCGGGTGTTGACCTCTGCACGTGTAGTACTGCAAATGATCGCCAAAAATTATTTGGTTGTACCGTGCCCCAAGCTGACGAGAAAGATTGGTAGGTAGAAGATGGGCGGACGTGCGTCAACGTCAATGCCAATGCCGTAAGGTAGCGTCGCCGTCAGGGACGGGGCAGCCAACTAGATGACGGCAGACTAATCACACCAGTGCCGGGTGGCATGGCATGGCCTTTTCCTTCCACTGTTAGGTAGACTTCTTAGCCCACCACAGTGACAGTCAAGCGCGGCGACAGTTGGGTTGACAAGCAGCCACAGAGCCTAAGTATCCATACCTTAGTTGAAGGTGCTCAGACTCGAGGTCGAAGAGTTAGGCCAGTCAGAGGGTACATGCAGGAGCAGTTTGCTTGGCTAGGGCCGTTTCGTCTGCAGTGTAGATGGTTCTTACAAAGTTCAGATGAAAACCAGGCGGACGTCGCATGAGACGGGGGATTTCTGAAGTTGACATGCAATTCCTATCTCGGTGTCTGCTTTTCTGTGGCGAGTGGTCCTCATTTAGGCACCATAGCAGAAAGCCAAATTTTGCTCGGAGAATTCGTTGTCAAGCTGTGAATGTCGAGACTTTCCAGCTGGCAGGATCAGAAGGAGCATGGCTCCGTACCGAAACATGCAACTCGTTGCAAGTGACCGTTGATTTGTTGGCAACGAAGCTGCGTGCTGACCGCTGACGTCTCGGGATGCGCAATGGAATGTGCCCTCCAAAGACAATGATGATGATATTGTGCAGAGGCCTACGGAGTAGGTACACAGAAGATAACATGGATGGCCGCCTCGATCCAAAGTGCAAAAGTGTCCCGAGACAAGGGAGAGGCGAAGGCGCAGGCGCCGCAGAATGAACTCAGCCAAGATTGGTGTAATTATTCCGACCCTAGGGTCCGACCTGATGGCGTTGGCTCAGGAGAGTGAAACTCCGGGTAGCAGAGCCTTCCCGCGGAGGGATGTGAGACGGTCTTCCGTACCTCAGAGGCGAGGCGAAAACAACCCTGCCATTGGCGTGAGCAAGCATGCAGTTGACGGGTTGATGGCTGTTGGCAAGGTGTTGATGGTGTGCAAAACGGTCGCTCTCTTGCCGTTTTGGGAAGCCGGTTGTCGTCCGTGTCGATCACGGCGATGACGTCCTGCTGGGCTGGACGTGAATCAGGACTGAAGAGCTAACGTGAGGCCAGGATGAGGACCGTACCGGATTGGTCAGTTGGAGTCTGGCGCTTCTCAGGGCACGGCGAAGTTTCCAATCCTAGATTTCAATCTTTTGAGGCAAGATATGGAGGGTTTGGGCCTCGTTTCCCCGGTGCTTGGTGGAATGGTGTTGAATAAGTCTGTTGCCGATTAGTAAAGAGAGATCCTCCTGTGATATCACATCGTCAGGAGGCGCCGCTCAGGGGTGCTCAATTCCGGGACTCCATTTGTCCAAGATCCTTCATCGACTCGAATATTGAAGTCGCAATTCGTCTCTTCTGCGGGCTGAACGGAGTATGGCCCATTGCTCTGAGATTCGACGGTGCCGGACTGAATGCTAATGTCTAGGGCAGGGGAAACGCTCGGGGTCCCTGACTAACAGATACGGTCGGTGTCCAGTGACGACTAGAAAGGCAGGCGGGAATTTGGCCGACGTCAGCGTCAATGGAAATGATGGTGACTGGACCTGGAAGATTGTGTTAGCGCGTGGTGACGACGGGGAGTTTGGCCGAGGGACGTCGACGTATCCCCAAAGACCGTTCGGGACGGTTGGCGAATTATTGTCTTTGGCTAGGAATGGCCTGTACTGGGACCAATGGAAGATGCTGTTTGGTGCATAAACATGAACACGTAGGGAGCCCACGGCTGCGTTCTCTTTTCCTTTCGAATACTTCTTCGTTTGCATCGATCAACCGGGTTGGATGTCACAGAAAGAAATTGCTTCATTTGCAACTCCAAGAGGCCAGAAAGTCTAGACCGCGCCGTCGTCATGCTTGGAGATGGGCCATCTTGAGAAGGCAGGAAGAAGGCAGGAGGAACTTCGGGACTTGCAAGCTCGCTCTTGCCACTGGGAATTTGAGGTACCTGGGTACTTTTTACTTCGAGATTGCTTTGTCAGGAAAGAAGAGGTACGTATCCCTTAGGGGGACTACACAGTAAGTTTGTCAGGAAGGGGGGGAACGTTCGATAGAAAACGGGAGGGCAGGAGCAAGCCAACGACAAGCTGCACCGTCGACGGTTCGTCAAAACTTCAACGGTCAACCACAGCCAGAGAGACGTCGATGTTGCGCCCTTCCAGATTCCTTCAACATCGAGAAAGACAACGTGCCCCTCCAAACATGCACTCATGAGCTTCAGAAAATACTACTGGCCTGTCGCTATTGGTTGCCTCGTCACAGTCTCTGTTGCTTGCCACACGCTCATCCTCCACTTCTCAAACCTTAACTACCACGATCCCTTCCTCTCGCGGACATTGAGGCGCCCATTGTCGTCCAACGTCGCCTGTCGTGTGCTCCACCGAGCCGGTAATCCGACATTTGACTCCAACCATGTCCATGTTCAAGTGGGTGTCTCTGAGCGACCTTTCACAGCCCCTGGCCCGTCGGGCTCAGTCCCATACATCAGGTTCCAGTGCTAGTTGCAAGACTCTACTACTCTGATGTCTGCACTTCGTACACTGCGAAGGCTGTGGCATTGTCTGGTCAGCGGCATATCCAACACCATGCCTCGTTTCGACCCAACCAACGCCTCCTGCATCTTCGGCCTCAGTTTCCCTGCATCTACCCGCCTGTCGTGCCTCTCTCCCTGATGGCTGTCAGTCGTCGACAATGCAACCGCCAAGCACCAAGCCCAACTATGGGACGTGTCGAAAACTCTGGAACCCTCTCCGCGCCGCCGACCCCCGGGCTTGAGTTCAACACCATACGACACTAGGCGTTCGGAAGTATGGATATCACAACCATTATTGACTGGGCGATGCCGACGGAATACAGCGGCCGACGGTGCAGACCACCCCGCACCACCTCACACACTTTCAACCCGCCTCAACTTCTCGTCAACACCTTGGCCGGTCAGATGCCGCCACCGAAACTCGACTTCGCCCTTCCCTCTCCATCGGACTACATCTGCAGCATCTCGCCTTTCTGCAAGGCGCATACCCATATTATCTGCACACAAAGGCCGCCACAGCGCAAAGCATACTACCAAACAAGCAATGACTTGCGTCTGCTCGCCCTGACTCGATCCTCCTTGGGCCTTTCTGCTTTTACAAACCGCAACTGCCGCGTGGGGTCAATGGGGCTGATCTTTGAGCCCCAAAGATGCGATGCAACTCGACATGGCTCCGTTGCTTGCTCACCGCTATGCTCTGGCGACACCCGGCTGTTGTCGCAGTATTTCCCTCACTCGCAGGTTGCGGCGTTTCTTGCAGAGGTTAGCCGCAAACGCATGGAAGAAGGCAACAGGTGCAACGTCCCCCAGGCTGCCTTACCTGTGAAAGGCGACGAACGATACTCAACACAAGGGATGGCTGTCTTGACAGCCACGCCGACGACCAAAAAGAGGCAACGGCGATACTCTCCCCCGGTTTTCTTCCGCTCAGACAAGGAGCATCCCATTTCAACTGCTTCGCCAAACAGCCCTGCCGAAAGACATGGTCCTAGCAGGCCTGTCGTTGACGGTGTACTATTCATTGGCATTGCCAATTGGCTTGACTTACCCACCTATTCAACGCGTTCCTTCGGTGAACAACTATGTAGACCATTTCGTTCTGGACACTAACTCCTCTGGGGAAGCTTCTACTCTCGTCTGCTGTGGTCCCCATCAGACAACGTTGACACTTGGGCAGGGGCAGTCCCGGAGACCCGCCAACAACGTCCGTTCCGGCGACGCCCAAGACGGGGATTCCCCCGTTCTGGCAATCCCAAGCCACCAAACAGCGCCGTTGGGTTCACGCCCGACCAATGTCGGGCACATCCGTCCAAAGGGCATTTGCTGTTCATTTCAGGCCGTTCCGCTTTATTGACCCATGAGTGACCTGTTCTAGCCTCCGGAAACCGTCAATTCGGTGAAGGAAAGAAAACTCTGAGATGCTTATTCTCGCATCTCGATCTCGCAACGTTTCATCCAGATCGGCCGGCGATGGCGGACCTTGATGTGCTACGTGCGCGAGTTTGATACGAGATGATGCTCTCCACGAAGCTTGGAAGATGCATGCAGCGGACACAAAATTCACGCTGAGTTCTCCACGGGCAGGTTGATGAGGTTTGGAATGGTCTGTTTCCCACGTGGTTTACCACAGTGCCAAGAAAGCACCGTAACGTCATCTGATTTGAGGCCATACAGCCTCCGTAGATTAGACCTGAACTGGCGACTGTGCGGCTGAGTGTGCTGTCCAGTCACGCAGATAATGGCACTCTACATATCGTTGGCGCTTCTAACCAAGTCAATGCCTCGGGAGCTGCATTGCCTAGCAAGACAGGCAACGACACCGACTACAGTGAATAGTCGACCTGAGCACTAATGTGCCGTCAAGCGGCACTTGGCCATGCGTGATGGAACTAGTTCCCATCCAAGCGTAGTCCGTTCTTCCACGTGCCGTGATTAGGCTCGATTTTGTCGACCAGCTCTCGATCTAGTTCACGAAAGGCTTAGACAAGGCGCAAACTGATGGACTATGCGGCTTAGCTTCGCCTTTCCACCATCTCGTCAGCTCGTCAGCTCATCAGAACACATCTTCTGTTCTCAAGAGTATGCCTCAAAGTAGATGGCAGGATGCGGTAGGTTTGTGGCATGTAGCAGCAGACTCAGTAATTGCCGAAGATGGCGCCAATACGGACAAAAACTCTGCTCGTACGCAAGGGCCCGCAACCGGGACCCTCCTTCGCCTCACTTTTGTCCTTTTTGAGGCCAACAACCCGCCGAACCAAAGTATACAGAAGGCGTCCGGCCTTGGAAGATAACTTTCGCGGGCCGGGGAAGACACAAAAGTGTATAGCCTGTGTGGCTGCTTACTTTACTGAATGGACCCTTTGTCCCGGACACCCGGACGAAACTGTTCACGGTGAAGTGAAGTGGGTTTGACCAAGAAAGCCTTTGGTAAAGCGGGATAATAACCCGGGGTTCGTGGTCGACCGCTCCGGGGAAGGTGTCCGGGTCTTCGGCCTGTGTCCGTCCGGGAGACGGTGTGCGGGGGGCGCGCATGTTGACGTTGAATGGAGCTGGAGATGGAGCAGGAGCAAAGGTCGACGGGAACTCTGACAGAAGTTGATTAATGATGAGTTGGCGTAGTCCACATTGTCCACTTCGTGCGTCGTTGGTCTGACGCCGGTCCAGATTGAGCTAGACGACCGTTGATGGCGCCGGACCCAAAAGAGTCTCCATTCCGATGCTGGGTTATCCCGTGGGCAAAAGCTGTCAAAACCACGGCCGCGGATGGTAATCAATGGCGTGCACATCTTTTGAGACTCGGTCTAGGTGAGTTGATGTTTCGAAACGAGTAAATAGACACGCTGTCCTGCTGAGTACGTAAAAGAATCTAAACCATCATCTTTGTCACACCCAGAAGACAATGGGGAGTGGATGAATATGCCATCCACCAATCTCATAACCCCAACCCCCCTGGCTCTATCTAACACGGCACACGCGGGATCTAACCAGACCTCTACGCCAAACTGCCCATGGGATCCCACAGCGGCAGCACAGTCGGCTCCGTCCCAATAACCCCGCGGACCTCCTTGCTCAGAAACCGCGGATCAACAACAGCCTGGTAGACAAACTCATCCATCCACGCGTCGCTCATGACGAACCAGCCCTTATCGCCCGCGCTCTCGCCCCAGCTATTCTGCACCCTCCACCGCACGCTCTCGCCCGTCTCCTCGTCGACGTGCACGGCAGTCAGGACCATGGCGTGCGTCATGGCGCTCTCGCCCGTCCGGAGGCGGCTGGCCTTATCCATGCCCAGCAGGGAGACGTTGAAGCCGAGCTCGTAGTCGATGAGGTCGAGGTCCATCACCCCGGCGGCGGAGTTGCTGAATTTCCCGACGTCGGAGCCGAAGAACACGGGGAGGCCTGCTTTGATCATGGCTACGCAGGCGGATTTGAGGGTGGGCATGGAGACGTTTACGTAGGTTACGCCGCGGCCGCCTACGATGTTGCCGAGGCGGTCTACAGTTAGGAGGGTGAGGGGTTTGTGACGCGGGTCGTGGACGAGGGAGACCATGGAGTCGATTACGGAGGAGGTGATGCGTAGGTCGGAAGAGTAGATGTCGCGGGCGAAGGCCTGGGGTGTGGTTTTGAGGGTGTGCGGTTTGGCGGATTTGTCGAGGTAGGTCCAGGTGAATTCGTCGCGGGGGTTGGGGGGCGGGCCGAGGGCGAGGGTGAGGATGGAGAGGATCTCGCGCATCATCTTCTCTTTTGTCGCTGTGAGGGTCTCTGCCGTGGTTGACGGGGAAGATTGGACGAGCTTGCGGAGGATGAGGGCGTACTCGCGGAGCTTCGTCTTGACGATGGAGTTGAGTACGCCCGAGTTCATGGCGTTCCACGAGTCTGGGTACAGCGCCTGCGGGACGAGGCCGTACTTTTGGACCAGGTTGTAGACCATGTCCCACTGCCCGCCGTCGCTCACGATGTCACCCAGCAGAGCCTGGACGAGGCGTCCGTCGAGGTCTTCCCCCGCGGCTGCGGTGTCGATGATTTGCTCGAGGAAGTAGTTGCTCTTCTCGAGCTTGTCCCAGAAGAAGAGGTAGGACTGGGAGAGCTCGAACGAGTCGAGGGCGTAGCGGCGCATGAGGGCGACGCGGAAGACGTTTGTGGAGGCGAAGAGCCAGCAGCGGCCCGAGGAGCGCTGGTTTGTGATGGGACCGCCCTCGAAGGGGATGCGGGTGTTGAAGATTTGGGGGTCGGCGAGCTTGGTTGCCGTTGAGGTTAGGACTGTGCGGGGGTCTGCTGTGCTCAGGGCCGTGAGGGCGAGTCTGCGGAAGACAGTGAGTTAGCTTTCTGTACCCTTGGATACTCTGCCGATTAGGCTTGGTGAGTGTGTACTTGTTCTTGGGATCAGCGAGGAACCTCGACTGCCAGGACTGCGTCTGCTGGACGGGGAGACCCTCTGGCTCGCGGACAAGTCTGATGTCGCGCTTCTCGTCATCACTGCTGCTGGAGGCGACGTTGACGAAGTCGTCGTCGGTGACTTGGAAGCGGCGGAGGCGCTCGAGGAGGGCCTTTTCGCTGGAGGCGTCGACGGCGGGTTTGGATGCTTGGGAACCCATCTTTGCTGCTTGACTCTGTGTTACGGACTGGATCGTGTGAGAGTTGGTGGTCGCGGTTGAGCTCGAAGCTGAATGTGAAGTTACCTCACAAGTAATGTAAGGGAAGTAAAGGGTGGTAAGACGACGTGTCACGGAAGTCGACGCCGTATTGCTGCAGAAGAGAAATGCGATCACGCAATCGTCAGAGTTCACAAAGCTGGGGAGGTAAGATGAGAGCTCAACTCCAGATCTAACTCCCGATGAAGCAGGCCGGGCTGAGGTTGTGCTATTTAAGACAAAGGAACCGGTAACACGTGTCGTAGTCTAGAGACCCCCGCGACCCCTCACACCAACCATCCTTCGTTCCGATCCGCCTGATACCGAGCAAATGCCACAGTGAAGGGGGTATAGTTGTCTCTCCGGGTTGCTTCGCTTGTGCTTGCTAGTGATCTAGGTAGGGAAGGTCATGAACAAGCTTCCCGGGGTAAAGTTGGGTGTGTGGTGCCCGCACTTGCGCGTCTTCGTCTCTGTCTCACCCTCACTCACTATCTCTCTCTCTCTCTCATTCTGCCTTTCTCTTATCAGTTGGAGTCGAGTCCGAGAAGGGATGGAGGGGTCGGCGATTGCTCTAACGTGCTTCATGGGGAAAATCCAGCCATACAGCGACGAGGGTTTGGGGAACTTTGGGGTTGGGTCGACAGGGATTAGGTGCCCACGAGGGAGCGATTGGAGAGTCACGCACCCGCAGACCGGGGGAATGGGGAACCATCAAGGTGCTTGCTCTGATATGGAATGTCGGAGAGAGGACCACATGATGAGGCGGGCTGGAGGGGATTGATTGGGTTGTTTGTCGTGTTCTTCGAGTTTGTGAGGTTTTTGAGTGATAGCGACGGTTGATGCGGAAGCACACCATGGGGATCCACGATTGTCAAGTGCAGAAACGCTAGTTTATGTGTACATCTTTGTTGCAAGGTATCTCTCGCTTATGGGATTTGGTTTCTGGATGAGAATCGGTTGCTTCCGAATCCTATTGGGCTTGTGTTTCGAGGTGGCATCTTGACCTACTCCTCTCTCTCCAATGATTGAGAGGTACTACCTCAAATCTGGCGTACCAACAGCCTGAGACACATAAGAGGCTGGAAGCAGCAATTGCATTGTTACAGAGCTGGGAAACAGTACAGGCTCGAGCAGGAAACGCGTGGGAGATAAGCACAACACTGCAACCGAGTCCAGATTTGTGCGCGGCGATTCGGAGGCTCCACCGATACGGGAGGTCCGGGAGAGGGTCGGGAAAAGCGGGGCCGAAGGGAACTGGCGTTTTCAGCAACCATCAGGGCTGAAAGCTTGCATTAAACACGAGCTTTCGGATGCGTCAATACAGCTCATTGATACAGTAGGCTTAAGTTAGTTCACTCATCAAGTTACAAAGATGCACGGAAGAAGGGACAGTGCAGGTCAAATGGGGTAGGAACCTACCAAGGTCAGTATAGAACAGGGCACGTAACTCTGACGCGCAGGTAGAGCATACTACAACCCGCATGAGATAAAACTCTAGGGACCATAAAATGATAGGCAGGTGAGTGCAAAGAAAGAGGAGAGGGAAGCGGAGCCCAGCTAAAACAGAAATATCTTTATGCTGTATCGTGGATATTTGTCAGTCCCAATATCCATGTCGCCCTGACGAGGTTTCGCCAGAACGAGGTAATATTGATGTCGATTCGCTTCCTTTCCTCGGACAAAGCCGAGTGTGTTCACTTCGCTAGGATTCATAGATGCGCAGACAACTCAAGCCATACCTGGCTCCAGCGACAGTCTCTGAGATAATCGAAAATTACATCCGCCAATATCAAAGCCATGACCTTTTTCTTCTGTGTTTCTGTCAACACTACCTGTGTAATCTGGCAGGCTGTGAAAGAGCGTTCCGGAGTGGGAACGAGACTCGTTTGCTGAGATGATCTTTGGAATTCATCATTCTGTCTAATCAGTCCTCTGCTTTCACACAGATCATACTACCTCACAGTCGCGAATCACCTCGCCCACTTCATCATGATGAGGAGCTTACGGGGGTTTGAACGTGGTCATCTTTCACTTTCGACTTGACCAGCTATACTTATCCGTAAATTATACGCACCCAACTCGTGACATCAAGCAGTAATTGTTTGCAGGGTAATATTGAGAACGTACAATTGATATAAGGTGTCTGTAGACACGCCTTGATGTGATGTGGCTGACTACCATTGAAGCTGACCACCCTGGGAGTCCCTTCGCTGACTTTGACATACTCTATCCAGGCCGCGATGACAATGTGACGAGCTGATCAAGTATCGCAACTCTAAGTTACGAATCACCTTCTTTAAGCCTAGCTGTGTTGTGATCTTGGATGCAGTAATCATTTCCCAAGTAGATCGAGATGGCGAATCAGTCTTCGGAGAGTTGGTCGTTGCGAGAGTATAGGACAAGTTGACGTTCCGAGTTGGTGGGGAGGTCATTCTCTTACAAATCGGAAGAGAATAACACTGCGTCAAGCTCCACCATAGCATCAACAATTTTTCCTTTCGACTCTTCAATCGGTATCTCTGGTGCTATAAAGAGTCTCGTACACACCAAGTATTCATCAAGTACTGTTTTGCTCAAATCAGCACTTCTGTAAGCTGATGGCTTTGGATGCGGTGAAGATTCACCAGTTCCGAGACTTGTTTCAAGATTCTCCAATGCTTTAGCAACCTTGGAGTCATCTGCACACGTTGGCTGCTCTGTTCTCCATTTGTTGATTCTCAATTTGGCTGCTTTCCAGCTTTCCTCTTTCGCCACAACCGTGTTCTGCATTACGGAAGCCCACTGCATGCCGGGTGTCGTCGGGATTTGTTTGGTTGTGAGAATGTGTTCATCGCATTTTCTCATCAGTTCTCCTACCGAGTCAATTGGTACTTTCTTATCCGTGCTCGCCATGATTGTGGGACAAAGTGATCTCGATGTCTCTGAACTTTGGAATTACGTGTGAATGGGTCAGGCCATATGGAAAGGAAGGAGGAATGGCCTATAAGTAGTCCAGAAGCCCTCTTCATTGCATCGGCTTGCAGATGCTTGACACGAAGAGACTGTATGAACCTGGCAGAAAGGTGGCAGCACCGATGGAACAGGCTGAACCCTCGACGACCGAACTTTTCTTCTTGTTCTTTGTCTACCTAGGTAGGTGTACGTTCAGTCTTTGGGAAATTGGTCGAATCTCTAAACATCCTTGCACTGGCCGAAGCCGCCTGTGGCGGTTTCCTGACCCTTTGTACTTCAACCAAAGGCCAACGTTCACTGTTCAAGAGGACGAGAGTATGACGAAAATCGAGGCGTGATTTCTGAATGACATTGCTTCAGGCTTAGTGACTCGGTGGGATGCGACTGAATAGATGCCGGTATACGATTGAGGGGCCGGTTGTTGCTATCCCTGTTGCTTTGAATCTGAACATCATGTGGCACTGTCACAAGCACGTGATAAAGAACCTCCAAAGATTTAAGGAGTTCCCCTCTGGAATATGAAACCATTGTCCCCGAAAATACATTCAAGTCGCTGTCTCTGCCTTCTCTTTACCGTTTCACAACAAAAAGAGGCTGTAGAGGCTGACTCAATAGCTACCCGGGGTGCATCTCATGGAAGATGTGTTCTTAGGCACCTGTTCAGTGGGAAGTAGGTGAGGTCTGGGGTGTTCAAAATTTGAACGCCCCTAAGTTCAAAGCGAAAGCGTGTTCTGGCCCTTCTCAAAGATCTCTTCAGGCGACCCGCATGTGTGGCAACTTTGTCTTGATATGGGCACATCCTTTTCATCGCTCTCAAGAAGCCCTTTTGGTGGTGGGTGGGGCTCGTTATAGAGGTCGTCCCGCTGAACCCTCACTCCTAGGCTTAGGCCTGATATGAGCCGGGTGGACTAAGCCGAGCCCGAAAACGACTGCCGTGACCCTATGTGTGGCAAGAGATTCCTCTGGGTTTACTCAAGGCGGCAAATAGCTGTATCACATTTCCCTTTCGTCATGATATGCATCGGTACTTAAGGTACTTACTCAGGTAGATGAACTTGCACGGTCTTTGCCGCGCTTATGGTGGTGCTCCTCGTAATGCCCTCTGTATAACCCCAAGTACTCATCGCTTCTTGTTATACTTGAAAACGATGGTGCTCTGCTTATTTTCAAAGGAGGAACTGCCAATTTAGGCGCTTCAATTACTCACCTCTCTGCAGCTGGTAGCTAACAGCTACTACTTTATGCCTCGGCCCTTCCGCTCTTCAGAACCGGCGACGATTGGGTACCGGAGGTCATGTCAATTTTGACATTATTGGCAAGTACAACCAAAACAAGATTTCGGGTCAACCGGTTCTTGTTGTAGCATTAGGGGGCAGATAAAGACAAAAGCAAGAGCATGAGGGACGGGATAAGCCAAGTCGGTGTGCCGCGGCCCGGGATCCCACTATTCACGGGAGGTCCGGACCCGGATTCGGGAAAAGCGGGCACACTGTCTCCGACCAACCGGGCCTTTATTACCTGCTTTCCCGAAAGCTTCAGACGCGTTGAACTCAACATGACTTTCGCAAAGACCAAATAATCATGTAAAAGTAAAGTGAGTGCTATTTCTAACCATGTATGAAGCCACGGGGCGCCGTTTTATGCCGTGCGAACACGTTCATTCGCCTCAGTGCCCTTAACCTAAGTCACACCAAGGGAATCGTCCAGCGGGATGACAGGCTTTGGCTCGGAATATAAGCTCGGCGATCTGATAGAAGACCATAATAGCACATACCTCATTACTAGGAGAGGACTCCCAAGTTCTTGAAGCATGGTCGCAATAACCAATCTGAGGCTCGAACGATATCCTCGCAACGAGACCTCTCCTCGGGCGCTAAGTGTCGGGGCTTCTATTTTCATGTACCTCATTTCTGTAGTCTGGGAAGAATTTAAAGGTAAAAAATCATGATGATTTGCTGAGAAAGTAGCCTGCAAGTTGTTGCGTCCCGTCTAGCAAGTGCATTCGTTCTCGACCATCCAATTCCGATGCACATTCTTCTCCTGCTTGGGAAAGACTTGACAATGATTGTTTTGTTTTATTTTCTCCTTGTGTTCTGCTATCACTATGGCTTTTTCTTTTGAAAAAGATTTCGTGATCGGAATGCTATCGACTAAACGATGGGGTGAGCTGTATGAATGATAAGAACTGTCCAAAGCTCTACTGATCCAAATGAACAAGTCGGAAAACGCCACCATATCTCCTCTAACCCCCCACCTTCCGTGTGCTGAATTTTCGGATGTAGAAGTCTTTCTTCAGGCCGACGTTCGACAATTGCTTTCGTAGCGGTGATTTAGACCTTGAACTCCCCCACTGAGACTCGGGTGCCGTCCTTACTAAAGGTGACGCCTCTCTCCTTGAGAGACAAAGACCGGTCGGAGTCTTTCTCGAAATCTATTTCAAGATTGATTTTGATATTTTCAAGCGACTGATATAACTCTGAATCATGACCCTCTTCTTTCTCTTTTTTTTCTTCTTGAGTAGTGTCGTCGATCATTCGCCTGTTATTGCGAATTTTCAATAAGATGTCTTGCACTACATTACCTCGGTCAGTATACATATTCGCACTACTGATTTGGGATGTTGCGATCCGTTACCTTTATGGAGATCTTCGTTGACATCCTCCAGCATTTTTTCCACGCGTCGTTCTTGAGACTCGCTGAGTCTAGTTCCCGACGTCATCTTCTGCCCTATGCCGAGTGAGCTGCACTTGTTTTTGAACCTGTTCCTTCGCTCCTCCATAATCGTCCACAAATCTTCATTGGAAGACTTAGGATGATCCTTGATCATCTTCTCAAAACTAGCGCTGATATAGCCATCACACTTCTGCTTCATATGAGTTGTACGACTGCGGAAAGAAGTTGTTTTCTTGGGTCCAGCAGCAGGTCCCTTGGCTTCGTGAGCTAGTGGAAACATTGTAGAAACGTTAGTGATGAGCGATTAGCCTAGGTGGCTGAGAAGGACAGAGCAGCCATTTTAAATTCTAGAACAGGAGAGATTCCTCTCGTTCCTGAAATGGCAAACATTTAGGACAAAGAGGCATGTTCAATAAATGCCTTCGGTCGGCTCACCCCGACCAGCCTATGATGGATAAGTTTGAAACCACCAACTGGCCACTTAGCGGTCCAATTTCATCTTTCTCTTTGTCAACCAAGCATTGCTCTGAGCAAGGGAAGCAGTTACCGCCTTACCAACATAAGCGAAATGCTTGTTTGAGGTCGTCTGCGGCGGTTCTTCCATTCCTTACATGTATGCTTCGGCCCAGGATCCCGGTGCGACAATGACGGTCGGAATTGCAGGTATCTGTAGTCACATGCAACAGTTCCCTATGGGCACAGAGATCTCACAATTACGGATATCCTGGAGTCACAAGCAAAGATTCGTGTTAAGTGACTGCTGGACTTTCCTTACCTATCTTAGCCTCGGTTTTCCTCCTTATTCCTTCAAGGCAATGTTGTAAGTGCATTCGCGGTACGTTAGTGACGGCGGCGTGACGGAGGCGGAGGTGGTGGTGTTGGTAGGCCTGGCTAACAGTGGCACACTTCCAATATAGTCAAACTTCACAGCCAAATAGAAGAAGCTTTTAATAATAATGGTCTTTTTTTCTTCTGGGTGTCTTTTTCTACCTTTTTTTGGTCGTTGATAAATTGGGCTATACGCGGCAGGGCGAGAACTATAATAATGCTGGGACAATCTTCAAGAAACAAGATGCAAGCCGGATGAGAGGTGGAACGTGTCCAAAGCCACTTGAAGGAAAGACACCAGCTGAAAAGTGCCGCATTGTTCCTAACAGCCCAATATCCTTGGTCCATATCCTCCAAGTCCGGCGGTGCTGCGCTTGCATACCTTATACAGCGGCTACTCCTCACTGCTGATGTCGATCTCCTCACAGCTCGTTTGGTAACCCCACGTTATGGTTGCCCGCCGTTGAGGTGACACTACGTGCCCGCGGTGACTATTGGAGATTTACGGATGGATCGCTTGGACCAGCAGGCGTTTTGTTTTCTTCCTTTGCCGGCCGCAGGGATGGGTAATTTGGAGGATCGATTTGGTCGAGAGCATCCTGTGCTTTGCTCCGCATGTACTCCAGGGGGTGGGAGGGGACGACGCCTTCCTTGAAATCGCCCGAGAATTCGGCATAGTCGTTCCTGATGAATTTGCAAAGCATTGGAATCTTTTGAAACAACAAGGTGCCCAGTGTTGACTTTGGACCGAGGCTCGCCTCAAGATCTTCCTTCTTGGAACCAGATTCGGACTTGGTCTCGGCGGAAACATTCGTCGTAGGCTTCTCGCCCAGAATTTTGTTACCCACTGTGGGGTTTTTCTTCAACATCTCGCGGACTGTACCACTCCCGTCAGCATTAAAAACCTGAATACCGGACCGTTGCGATGAATTACCTATGATGAGGTCATACCAGAGTAACTCTAAGTACATTTGGATTCTCTTACGGAAGTTCGGGTCTGTCCCAGGCTTCGCCAGGTTTTCGTCGAATATTTTTTCTCCCTTTTCATTCAAGTCTCCGCGCCTGTCCTCACCCATGATTTTGAGAGCCCACTGCATAAAGCTATGCTGAAGCCTCGTAATCGCATCTTTGTAGCCATCATCGGAGGCCTCCGTGATGGCGCTGGCGAAATTCACCAAGCACTTATCAACATACTTGGATGTTTTCTCATGTCCAAAGCTAAAGATGGTGTTTTCGCCTTGGAAGGGACTGCAAATCAGTGTCTCGGCCATGATTATCGTGTAAGGTGGTGTGGTTTCGATTCGGTTGCAGAGATGTTTTGTGAGAAGTGACCAAGCAATTTTGGAAGATGAAGATGAAGATGGCGTCTTATGTATTCCAAAATATATTCAGCAAATGCCCTCGACCGGCTCATCCCATCACGGGTCCGCGATAACTGAGCCTGACAGCACCCACTGAACAGTTGGTGATTCAGACTCTTTATCTACCTTTGTCTAGCTAGTCATCAGTTTAAACTTCTGAGAATTAATTAATGCATTTCAAATGTGACTCCAAATACATTTACGTCCAAAGGTTGAATCCGGCGAGATCGTGTGTGGCGGTTCACTCAGTCCTTTCATCATTGTGGTACAACCAAGGACCGGGCCCCAGCGTGCGAGAGGACAAAAAGCGCAATCGAGTTTTGAGAGACCGCCAGGATGTACTGTACGGCAACGTATGACCGGTAAGAGAACAACTGCTTTACTGCGATCCCATGGAGTAACGCCAACGACAGCGATAGGAGGACTTGTTACGCGATCAAGACTCGATAGTCTTTGGTTAGGTGGAATGTGTTCAATACGAGCTCGAATAGAGGCACCAAGGAAAGCTCGTGGAATTTCCGAGGCGGTGAAACCGCCACTGAGAGAGGTAACCTCGATAGAAGCCTCACCTGCAGTAGCTGAAAGAGGCGACAGAGGCGTAGCTCTCATCGGGCTGGTGCTGCTGATGGTGAGGGTAGTATGTATGAATTTGGCACCAGTCTCATGATTCATTCACTTCCCGCGAGTTCGGAAAGCGAACAAGGTCGCCTGTTCAATGGCTTTCGTCAAGGAGCACATGAATCTCGCAGCCATAGAGGCGGCGAATTGTAGTCTTGTTACTTTCCTCTATTTGATGCCGCCAGAAGATTCCTCCACAGCCATTCTTGTAGGGTTCTCATGGGCTCATACATGTTGAGGACATGGCGCTGCCAGATTGCAATAGTTAAGCACTCACGACGTTGCGGCAGCATATAATTATCTACCTCAAAGTACAATCGATCCGGATGTGGTATAGAACGCCATCACACGGAGCAGACGAGGGCTCACAAGGAAAAAGCGAAGCGCAACTGCGCTCTTGAATAATTGTTGGAGCAATGTCGATGGAGATCATGGGATGAAAGTCTAATGAGTACAGACGTGCCAAGGTCTGGATCTCAAAATCACAGTATATCGATATCTTCGGAGAGCTCTGGCGTGGAGGTTTGATGGCCAACATGAGTCTTGAAGGTTCTCTCTGACGAGCTCAGTGAGGCTTTATGCCAGGAATTTCGTGACCGAGTGAGTTCTAGTCATGGTGGCAGTGATGATCACAGGCACACCTAGCCTTGCTGAAGGATACGTCGTGCACCAGAAGGTTATAGTGCCGCTTGGCAAGCGCTGCCCACAGATGTGATCCTCAAGCTGAATCTTGCTGTCCGGGTACAGCTATTGACTGATGCGGCCAAAACCAAACAGTACAGAACTAATCAAGCAATACAAACGTCTTGCGTCCGAGTGGGTCTGTTGACTGTCATCTTCAGACGGGTCGTAACGTCTAGTCGGACCTTAAGTCCGTTGCGGCTTTAACCTTTAGCTCCGTAAGGTAATTGAAGCAGTTTAACTTACAGTGATGCAGTTCCCTTCTCTCTCTTTCGTTGTACTCAATGATTGGAATCAGTTCAAGTAGAATCAAGCGGCAATCTGTCAAGCGCAGCAATGGAAGGAGATTACCCGAAAACAGTGTTAATCATCGGTGGAACTGGGAAGGTTGGCCGCCAGATCACCAAGCTCTTTGCGGCGACGTCAGTTCAGGTCTATCAAGCCTCCCGCAAAGGGTCGGCGACGACAGAGGCGGGCGCCGAGAACATCAAACCGATTGCCTTCGACTGGGACGACAAGAAGACATGGGACACGGTTCTAGAAGTTGGCGCGACGAGCGTATTCCTGGTAGCGCCACCAGGAGGCCCTTTGCCGCCAGTGGAGTTGTTCATCGACCAGGCGCGACTCAAGGGACGCGTGAAGCGATTCGTTCTGCTGAGCGGAAGTCCAGTCGAGCCGGATATCAATAGCCAGGGGATGGGTCGACCTCATGCCTATCTCAAGCAGCTTGGCGAGAAGAGCGAAGTGGAATGGGCAGCGATCAGACCGACGTGGTTCCAACGTAAGTGCGGGACGATTTCTAGGGGATCTGGGGAAGTGCTATTGCTGATCACTGAACAGAGAACTTTGCGGAATTGGAAAACTACCGCGACTCAATAGTCAAAGAAGGTGTTATCTACTCTGCCACCGGGGACGGAAAGATTCCTTGGGTTGCGACAGAGGATATTGCTGCGTGTGCATTCCAGCTACTTACCCAAAAGGATGCTCCAAACGACGAGTATTTGATCCTCGGGCCCGAGCTACTTAGCTACGGCGATGTAAGTGTAGCTGTCTAACTAGACCTTCCCGCAGTAGAAGTAACGATGTTATACAGATCGCCGAGATCCTTTCCAAAACTCTCGGGCGCGAGATCACGCACAAGAACCTTTCGGTTGACGAGCTTGTGGATTACTATGTTCGACAAGGTCTACCTACACATATTGCGCAGATGCTAGGCAACGCAGACTTGGACATCAAGAACGGGAGTGAGGACCGGATGAACAGCGTTGTTGTCGAGTTGACAGGGAAACGCCCATCACGATTTCGTGACTTCGCGGAGAAGAATAAGAAGACCTGGGCGTCACAATCCTGAAGTATTGTTGATCTAAAAATAATCATCCAATACGAATAACATAAGATGGATGATGATTGTACGCCAACCGTGTCTGAAAGGAGATGCGAACGTTCCCCCTATTTCCCATACTGGCAGTGTCCCGAAGTCGAGTCTCATGCACAAAGCCATCGCTACCGAAGTGCTCCTAATTACACTAGAGAATATCCTAAAGCCAAATAGACGTGAGGCAAATCTTCCTTTGCTCAACATCTCTCTTGCTCTTCTTTCGAGCTCATGTGCGCCGACTCCCTTCGTCTCCCCTTTCTCCATGACAAATGTAGTAGTGTTTCCGCCACGCTCTATCCACTACAAGTCGTCGATGACATATGCGTAGCCGGATTGAACGATTTCTCCCTTTCCGTTGATGGAAACTACACCGGCCGTCAAGTAAAAACGCGAGGCTATCGCGTAGGCAGTGAAAACCGACTCCGATGTTGGGTACGTAAGAAGACAGTTCATCGGGAAACCCACATCATATACGTTATTGAGAGACGAGCGATGCTAATATAGGTGATAAGTTCTATTCCGGAGCTACCTGATCTAGGTAAACCAGCCAAAAGAAATAGTCGCATTCCTCGCAATTGCCAGTGTCACGTTCCACTGAAGTCGCGATAGTACCGCACACTCCCAAGGCCGACGATGGTTTCCTGGCTGCTGATTTGAGAAAGCCCGTCGTTATCCGCTGTCTCCTCCGTCAGGCAATAGCGGCTGTCGTTCCATCCACCTCTCTCTGCTGAACCAAAGGGAGAAAAGGAAGATACATGCTCGGACTCCCGGGGGCCGAACTTTTTGCAGGAATGCTTCAGTGAATACTGTGGTGTATCAATATACCCTCTATGGCACCTTTGCTCACGGTCTCCGCTAGATAAGCCTCGACCTTCTCATCATTCTTCTCGGAGAACAAGAAAGACGTGGACTCGAGGAGCAAGAGGCGCATCGGAATACCGAAGAACATGTACCAGCCGAGGTCAGATCGTGGACCCAGCCTGATGTCGTAGTCTACCTCAATCGATGAACCTAGCGGCAAGGGATCTTTTCGAGTAGCCTCGTCGCCCCTAAGCCGACTATCAGCTCCACGGAGGAGTATTGCTGCCACTTCATTAGGTCGGCTAGTATTCCAAACTATGAATATTAAGGTTGGTGTGATGTACTTTTCTCGAGATAGTGGTGAAGAACTTCCAGGTCTGGACGAAGATGGCTTTCTCGCGTTCACCTCCCATTGAGATTCTCTTATCGATAGCTCTCAACCCGGACAAAGGCTTAGGTCGATCACATTTCTCCTTAAGGTGCCTATTGAGCCAGGTCCTAAAATGAGCCCACAGTTGGTCGACTATGATCTCCGTTAGGTGATAAGGGATTTTGCCAGGAAACTCCACGATGGATCTGAATACTTTGTCGCATTCCTGTATCATTTTGGAGGGCTGGTCGTCAAGGACCTGGGTGTTGAAATCACTAGAAGCCATGATTGTCGTTTGAGGTTTGGTAGTCTTGTTGTCGGGTACGGAGATGTTTCCAAGGGTGATGAGGCCATTTCGGAAAGGAAACCTGACCTCTTTTATAATCAGGAAGCTATACCACTCTGAACATTCAGGTATGACTCTATTGATCACAAGTTCACGATGGTTGAGCTTGATAGCATCACCACCGAACACTCCACGATTCACATTCCCCTCCTTCTTTGTCTCTATAACGATCTGTTAAACCGTCCTACCCGGAGAGAACGATTGATGAAAATCCAAAAGTATTGATGATCCGGTTGAAGAGGGTGGGGGAACCATATGTGGCGGTTTTCCCAGACCCGTGCAACCACACGGTAAATTCACCAGTCTTTCGACACTCACTTTCTGACAATAAATACGAAGACATCCACCCATCCACAACTTCTCGAGCTCCTACCGCCACGGGATAGATATAGGTTGGGGAAAGAGGCAAAGTTCCCACACGTGCAAGTTCAATTGAGGAATTTCCCAAGATGAGTGACAGGTGACGACGCCACGACTTTGGCGGTGAATGGCGGTCACAATGACTTCTGTTCTTCTCATGATGAGGTGGTGTATCGAGAGGTCGAGTGATCCCTGTAATGTGATGTCCATGAATAAACATGACTACAGGAATCACACAAGGCCCTGAAGGTGTGTGGAATTTGGTGGATGAACATGGTCAATTGGTCCATGTACGTTTGATGACTAGATGGGACATAGTAGAGGAGGGAGAGCACCAGCTCGCGCATGTCTCTGAA